ATAAATTTCCAAATTTCCTGGAATATGTATAAATAGCCAATAAAGCCTTTTGTGCTTGGGCGGTAAGTGAAAGATGTGCCTTACTCCAAACGAGTTTGGGCGTAAAAATATAGATATCTATATGACGATACATCAATCTGTTTTCCCATAAAATACCACTTGTCATATGCACGCAAAGGGCCTCCATTACGAAAAACCATTATCTTTGTTTTACTCAAATTAACTTTCATACCCGTTACATCACAAACGTGTTCCAAGGCATATATCTTTTTTTGTAACTGTAAACCACGCCAGAAACCTATGATTGTGGGTTCGAATCCCGGTTCGCCCCGATTATGTTTCTAGGTTTGTCAGCACCATACCCGTGCTCGTGGGTTTCACCGAAGTGGTAAACGTCTGAGACCTGCATCACTTCGGGCTTTCCTCCCACATTAAGCTGACACGCCGTGATATAACTGGAATACTGTTAAAAGCGGCGTTAAACCCACTTCACTCACTCACTCACTCTTATGTAATTGACACCACTTGATGATACTTTATATCAACCTAGTACCTCTGCCACAGGCCAGCGAAATGTGGGGATTGTAAATGTCACATCTTACACAGTCCTTTCAACAAATTACAAACGTTTTTCATCCGTATCATTTTTGAAAAGTCTACACAATAAAACAAACACGTGTCATGAAATGGTTAACTTTCTTATAGAAAATATCCTAAAACGTGAACAACTATTTCCATTTGCGTATTAATCCTTTGTTCGCATTGGTTGTACGGCTTCACGTGCTGTCATCGAAGCCCTGTGAAGAGCTGGGGATACGGTCACTTTGATGTATAAACAACAGGAAAGTCTGGCCACGTGATATGCAAATTAGCCTGTTGCAGTTGTTTATATTATGCCAAGTCGTCCCTGCGCTGCGCTGCGCTGCGCTGCGCTGCGCTGCGTGTGAGTTAGGGGGTCTTTACTTATTTTTTTTGTTTCACATCTCCCGCCGCCTGTAAATTTCCCTCCCGCCGAAAGAAAAAAAGTTATTTTGTTTATTCTGAATTATCCGCCGTCCATCTGTATTTGTATGCCGATTCTTGAAAAACGTGAAGTTTCATAATGGTTTGGAGTGAGCGAGTGAGTGAGTATGATTTTACGCCGCTTTTAGCAATATTCCAGCAATATCACGGCGGGGGACACCAGAAATGGGCTTCACACATTGTACCCATGTCGGGAATCGAACCCGGGTCTTCGGCGTGACGAGCGAACGCTTTAACCACTAGGCTACCCGACCGCCCTAATGGTTTGGAAACTACGTTCGTATATATAAATGGCAGTATGCGTTCTTAAAGTCAACTGCTGAAACTTGGAATGGAAGCAACTCCTTGGTACTTTATTTCTGCGTTGCGATTTTAGATTAGCCTCCACTATAGTTCCTATATTCGGGGTTGGTGCAACCTTGGTCGTTTAAATTAGAAATTCGTTACTACTACTTTTGAAAACATCCTGACAACTACCATCATTTACAGTCATTCCATCTATTCGTACGTATATTTTGTCATCTCATACTTCACATAAGTATATATACGAAACAAGGCAGTTACCACAGTTAGAAATAATCACCAGTGCGGGCGTCTTATTTCATGAAGATTCAAGACCTTCTGATTCATATATTTTTTGCAGAAACCTCAGTTTAATCAAGGCTTATAATGATAAACAGTTCTGGAATTTATGGGATATAAGTCGGATGAAGTTTTTACTAATATTAGTTGACTGTCCTATTTTCGTTCAGCTGTGAAAAGCCAAAACAAATAATGTATATAAAATCCATGTTTATATTGTGGTAATATATTTTACGAATGCTTTTAAACTATGATATCTTATCCACTAAGGAAAGAATATTTTGCAATTCTTTGTTGTAAAATTTGAATAAAGTAGATCAGCTCCACCTGTCATTCTTATTTAATAAATCCAAACATATTTAACATATCTAGATCTCAACCTATGTAGAATTTTTTTCCCTTGTTCATTAATTTACAATACAGTATCCGGTTCCATTTTGCCCGAGACTGCATGTCAGAAGATACAGATTTGTTTCAAATTAACGGGATTACAGCTGTTACGAATATGTGTTATCTTACTTAAAATAGGTCAGTGATAAGAATGTTTTTCAACTATGATATCTTATCCACTAAGGAAGGAATATATTGCAATTCTTTGTTGTAAAATTTAAATAAAGTAGATCAGGTCCACCTGTCATTCTTATTTAATAAATCAAAACATATTTAACATATCTAGATCTCAACCTATGTAGAATGTTTTCCCCTTGTTCATTAATTTACAATACAGTATCCGTTCCATTTTGCCCGAGACTGCATGCCAGAAGATACAGATTTGTTTCAAATTAACGGGATTACAGAACTGTTTCGAATATGTGTTATGTTTCATAGCTTAAAATAGGTCAGTGATAAGAATGTTTTTCAACTACAATATGACTTTGATACCTTCTTTTTTTATCTTCATGTGTTTTCCACTTTTAGATCGTTTCCACAATGTGTATAAATTTCGGTTTTCGGGTTCAGCTTGCTCTGAGTCTCAATAGTGGACGAGACATATTTTTGAATTGTCGAATATTTGGTATAGATCGTCAAAGCCTTGAATAGGTATTCTGCTGTGAGAAACCCTTTTTTCCCTTTTGCGGCCCACCGCCCCCCTCTGGAAAAAAAATACCTGGAGGAGAGAAACACTAAAACAAGTAAAGGCGGCCTTACTGCTACTAACTGCTTGGCTTTAGATTGATGAATCCTAAAATATACGTAATGTCTTCTGCATATTACTTGCGATTATAACAAAATATATTGTGACGTTAAAGTTTTGATCAATAGAGGTTATCACGCGAGTGTGTTTGGTAAATATCCTGCATTAGGAATAAAGAATGTATTTAGCGAGCCTTGGCAGTGTATTGAAGTAAGTTCCCCACATCGTTTGCATTGACCCGAATTCTATAGGCAAACTCAGTCTCTTCACAGGGATAGCTCATTCACGCACTGTGAAGGAGCTTAGAAATTGCAAGTTATCTCCCTTGCTACAAGGTCGAATGACGTCACAACTTGCGTTCGGACAAGCACATAGCACACAAATTATTTAAAACTGGTTGTCATGCGCTCATTTGCCTCACAACAAGCACTTAGGACAGGATACGAGTCTGATATTGTTTTCTGAACACAAAAAATTACCTTTGATAAAGTAGAATCGCAGTTAAAAAGTGCATTTGGATCCCAAAGGGGTTTATAAAAAGGGCGTAACTCCATTTGAAATTACCAAGAATATAGGTTCCACTGTTCTGAGTTTTTAGCGAGACAGGACCACAGTCTACTTACCAAGCTGAATTTTTTCCCTTTGACACCAAACATCAACCCCATGAGTGAGTGAGTATGGTTTTACACGCTTTTAGCAATATTCCAGCAATATCACAGCAGGGCACACCAGAAATGGACTTCACACATTGTACCCATGTCGGGAATCGGGCCCGTCTTCGCGTAACAAGTGAACGCTTTAACCACTAGGCTACCCGACCGCCCCTCACCTCATGAAAGGAAAATCGATTTTATATAGCAGGCTGGAATGCATCTCTTGCAACAAGAAAGATAGTTCCAACCCAGAAATTGAGGAAAGTTCTCCATGCCAAAGAACCGGTTCAGAGAGATGGGAAACAAAAATAAGTAAGAATGCCATTATGTCGGGGAACGGTCAAGGGGTGATAATCTCATTGGCCTTTATTGATGATGTTGATGTACCGATGAGAGTGACTTCCCTTGGGGATGAATACAAGATGGTGTCGAAGAAAGAAGATCTTCTTGATTCGTCTCAAACAAAAAACAAACGACACACATGGTTGAGATGACTTTTGTTCTCCTTCCACTTTCACTGCCAATATGAAGCCCCCGAACAACAAAGTAGAGTATTTTAGAGTCAGACTTCATGCAGCCATGTGGTTAACAAAGTTCCAAGCATGGGCAGTACAAGGGTGTTTGTAATATCGTAACCCAAACGAATTCGCAACTGTCAAATTGAACGCATATATGCTTTATTTTATTTTAATGGCCATTTTAATGCAAGGTTCTGCACTCATGTGGTTTCAAACATTGTTGCAGCATGTCCCAGTTAAACCTCACAGACTATACAATAAGTTTCAACAATATTTATGTGATCCTGTCTGAAACAGAGATTATGAAGACATACATTGTTTATATCCCACTTAAATGTGCAGGCTTCAGTAAAAGCGAATATTGTATGAAGGCATGGCAATCTCAACTGCTTGCAATCCGATAGAAGAACAAGGTTTTTTTACTTGAGTAATATTGCAAAAGAGACATGCAACATTCTGAAAATCAAGAAAACCCAGACTAGAAGCTATCACTCATCCTGTAATGTTCAAAGTGAAGGTATACATGATGTCTACAATCACAGCTTCATTGTCCAAATATTGTTCAGAATGCTTTCCATTTTATCAGTCCATGGATGCTCCCTGAGAACATTGAAATTCCTAAAAACCAATGCTTCGAATATTTATTGTTCCACTCCTTGAAGTCATGGAAGTGTTGAGCAATGGGGCTATTCAGACTGATGGATCGAAAATAAGGTATGGCTGAGAATTGAAAAATGACTAAACACTTACCTTATTTGGAGATACAGTGTTCTCTTTATTGTCATGTGTTGGTAACAGGTCAGACAAGAAAGCTTTAAAAATACATGTTATACTAAGAAGAAAGTGTAATTGACATCTAGTCCACAACAGGGTCCATATCAACAAGTGTAAGCATAGTTATCTGAGAAATGTTGAACCCGATGACCCTTCCTCGTCCTGCAAATGCTGACACTTGAGCCATCTGCACTTGATGAGGATGAGGAGGCTGTTTGGGGTACGCACATGCAGGTGTTTGCCACGTGATGTTTCGTGTATGCATGTCTATCGTGTATGTATATTCGTCATCTTGTGTTGGTTGGTGTATTTCAGGAGTCCGCCACCCTGATGTCTGCTGTGATGGGTGTGAGTCTCAGGGTATTTCTGGGATGCGGTGGACGTGTGCCAAGTGCAAGCGATGCAACCTGTGCTCATTGTGCTACGTCACTGACAAACATGACCTCGCTCACGAGTTCCTGAGATATGATACGCCCACCTCTGAAGGGTATGTTGCTTTCAGTTGACCAAGGACCTACCTCTTTGATAAGTAGTGAGTGAGTGAGTGAGTGAGTGAGTGAGTTCGGTTTAACGCCGTTTGTAACATTATTCCAATTACATCACAGCGTGTCAGCTTAATGTGGGAGGAAAGCCCGAAGTGATGCAGGTCTCAGACGTTTACCACTTCGGTGAAATCCATGAGCACGGGTATGGTGCTGACAAACCTAGAAACAAAATCGGGGCGAACCAGGATTCGAACCCACAATCATAGGTTTCTGGCGTGACAAGGGACGCAACTCTGCACAGAGAATTGCTGCGCCCTAGACGACTGGGCCACCCCTGTCCCCCTTTGATAAGTAACTGTTCACAGTGAAATGTGACAGTCAAGACAGGACCGTTCAAAGGGCCAATTTGTCCACACCTGTTTCTGCACCATTAGTCAAGATCCAGGTTAGAATTGGTCTTCAGCAACCCATGCTTGTTGAAAGCACAACTAAAGCGATCAGATTTGCAGACTCTGTTGATGCTTGTCATCCTATCCCAATTGTGTAGATCGATGCTCAAATCACTTGATTGTCTGGTCCAGACTGGATTATTTACAGCCCACCGTCATATAGCTGGAGTATTGCTTAGTGTGCCATTAAACAGCAGACAAATTTTATATATGCCCATAGATGTACTTAACAATATACGATCAGATTGTGAGGTTCCAGACTAACATGGTTTTACTGTGTCTGTAAAACATGGATCATCTTCTTCGGAAAGTACACATAATAATTAATTAATTGTTTACCATATTGTTGTGGGATAATTGTTCATCAATGTCTTGCTGTGGACAGTGTGAAGGTCAAGAAGCGTTCTGCGAGTCTGAAGATCCGGGCTATGGGAATGTTCCCTGGGTCGCAGGTCAAGCGAGGTGCAGACTGGAACAGTGCCAACCTAGACGGTATGTGAATATTTATGCATAACCGTAGATACGTGGACAGCGCCATCCTAGACTGATCCCCACGCTGGAAGCAAGAAAAATATAGTCGGGAGTAGGGGTGACTATTGGTCTGGAAATCACTATTGCGATAACTATTGATATTGAAAGAAACTATTGTGATAACTATTGATATTGAAAGAAACTATTGTGATAACTATTGATATTGCAAGCAACTATTGCGATAAATATCGATAGTTTTCAGTGTATCGTTTTAGATGGATTTTAGAGTTGAATTAAACCTTGGAACTGAAGTTTCCTTTAAATGTGATAACCATAACAACAAATAAAAAGAAAAGTTTGAGATATGACTGATTTGTTTTTTCTTTACCCTAATAATTTAAGAAAAAGAAATTTCGACATTACCATGTGTAAATTACTACCACTCATGATCAAATGAAAAACAAATTTGAACAGCATTGCATGTATTTTTTTGAAACTGTAAAACAATCGAAACTATCGATATTCCTAATTGAAATCGATACTATTGATCGGAAACTGATTTAACAATGGATTAATTGACTTTAAGGGCTTACCAATAGCGATATATCGATATTTCGATTTATCGTGACACCGCTAGTCGGGAGTATAATAGTTAATGTTACTGGTTCATAATCGGATTACATGCAGTCAAATAACCGTTTACAAGTGCTGCAAAACTGTTTTCTTCTTTGTTCTACACTGTTCTGTGTAGCACATATTAAGACAAAACCTACCAACTGTGATTATGTAGCCGATAGGGGAATGTAGCGCTTATAGAGTTTCTTTGTATCAAACGCATGTTCGAACTTTAAGTTAAAAATGTTACAAGACATACTGCTCTGAATATCTGGGGCTGCTGCTATTTTGGCTGAGTACGTACAGGTTCATCACATTATTTTCTGAGTTCAGACTGTCCGTCTTAAGTGGCTAGCGCCTTCAGCAGTAAGAACAATATTTACTAGCCTCATTGGGCCATAACTGGCAGACAGGTTTCTTTTATTGTAGCAATCATCATAATTGAGATTGTATAGCGGGAAATAGAAAAAATCCTCCTCCTTCTGTACATGAACACATCTCCTGCAACACACAACATAAGTGTTGCTGTGTTGGGACCTCAGTGCTGTCTGGGTGATCATTGTGAGAGTTTGTTGACAGGAGGGCCCGGGAATGTTGGAGATATCATCACCCTCATCAACAGCGTCTCCACCCCCTCCACACGCAACATGGTCAAGGTGAAGTGGCCAAGCGGTGAAGTGAGTACCCACAGAGTGGGCTATCAAGGGAAGGTTGACCTGCAGTACATAGAGCAGAGCCCCGGGACATATTACTACAAGGAGCACCTGCCCTATCTAGGTGGGTCATGTTACATAGTCTGGGTGTCACGTTACACTGTCAAGGTGTCACATTACACTGTCTAGGTGTCACATTACACTGTCTAGGTGTCACATTACACAGTCTAGGAGGGTCACATTACACAGTCTAGGTGGGTCACATTACACAGTCTAGGTGTCACATTACACAGTCCAGGTGTCACATTACACTAACTAGGTGGGTCACATTACACAGTCTAGGTGTCACATTACACAGTCTAGGTGTCACATTACACAGTCCAGGTGTCACATTACACTGTCTAGGTGTCACATTACACAGTCTAGGTGTCACATTACACAGTCTAGGTGTCACATTACACAGTCTAGGTGGGTCACATTACACAGTCTAGGTGTCACATTACTCTGTCTAGGAGGGTCACATTACACTGTTTAGGTGTCACATTACACAGTCTAGGTGTCACATTACACAGTCCAGGTGTCACATTACACTGTCTAGGTGTCACATTACACAGTCTAGGTGTCACATTACTCTGTCTAGGAGGGTCACATTACACTGTTTAGGTGTCACATTACACAGTCTAGATGTCACATTACACAGTCCAGGTGTCACATTACACTGTCTAGGTGTCACATCACACTGTCAAGGTGTCACATTACACGGTCTAGGTGTCACATTACACAATCTAGGTGTCACATTAAACCATCTAGGTGTCACATTACACTGTCTAGGTGTCACATTAAACCGTCTAGGTGTCACATTAGCTCTGTCTAGGTGTCACATTAAACCGTCTAGGTATCACATTACACTGTCTAGGTGTCACATTAAACCATCTAGGTGTCACATTAGCTCTGTCTAGGTGTCACATTAAACCGTCTAGGTGTCACATTAGCTCTGTCTAGGTGTCACATTACACTGTCTAGGTGTCACATTAGCTCTGTCTAGGTGTCACATTAAACCGTCTAGGTGTCACATTAGCTCTGTCTAGGTGTCACATTAAACCGTCTAGGTGTCACATTAGCTCTGTCTAGGTGTCACATTACACTGTCTATGTGTCACATTAGCTCTGTCTAGGTGTCACATTACACTGTCTAGGTGTCACATTAGCTCTGTCTAGGTGTCACATTAAACCGTCTAGGTGTCACATTAGCTCTCTCTAGGTGTCACATTAAACCATCTAGGTGTCACATTAAACCGTCTAGGTGTCACATTAGCCCTGTCAAGGTTGCCACAATAGTGATATGACGATTGGTCACATCAAGGTGATTTTCAAATGATCGTAGATGCAGAGAGTGCCAGGCAGACCCCGGTCAAGCAAGCGGAAGTTCTGCAAGTAGGAGACAAGGTGTATATCCATGTTCCTGCAGCCTCCCTCAAGTCTCTACAGAGCGACCGGTCAGGCTGGACATCAGGGATGGCCAATGTAAGTAGACACCAGGCCGACTTCATAGCTTGTGGAGCAGGATGTCATCTGCGTCTTGGCTGTTTCGTGCTTGTTTTTTGTCTTGAATTATTTTGAGTGCCCGGTCTCGACTGCTACACATAGAAGATGACAGACCTGACTTGTTCACAGAGTTACGGCCTTTGGTCCATGTTATTTGTGCAATGGGGGCGAGTTTTCTCAGAAACAACTGAGGTTAGCTTATCTGAGGATACTTATCAAGAGGGAGTTATTTTTTCCACAAAAGGGCCTTTTGTGTATATTAGATTCACATTTAATAATTTTTTCTGATAACAAAAAGCTGCCCAAGTGCCTTTCTATTCATAAGGCTTTATGGGGCTCTTTTTTATAGTTTAAGTTCACTTCTATATGATCAAACAAACTTCTAATGTGCCTAATGGGGAAAGTAATAACACTGTTTTCTTGTTTGTTTTTTCACATCAATATTCAGGCTGTATGATGTCGGTCTGTAGATTATGGAGTCTGGGCCAGACAATCTTGTGATTGATGGGCGTAGTTTGAACTGTCCCTGATATACCCTAGTTGTTTTTTTGCATCAGTGTATCGGCAAGGTCGGGATCCTCAAAGGGTTTGCATCGTCTGGGGATGCCACTGTAGAGTTTGGGGGCATGCGGTTCCGATTCACCCCTGCAGCACTGAGAAAGGTAGGATACATTCCGACTTAGATGTCACTGTGACATAAATATGCTCTACAAATATGATCCATGACTATTTCACAATTACATTTACAAAAATGATAGTAAATTTGAATGGTTGACTGTAGTTGACACAGTAACTTGAATTCATCAATAAATGATTGATTAGTTTCCAACAAAAGAATCATGTGTCTTCGAGCTCTAAACTAGAAACATCTTGAACCTTGTAGATATGAGTGAGTGAGTGAGTGAGTGAGTATTTTTGCAATATTCTAGCAATATCACAACGGGGACACCAGAAATGGGCTTCACACATTGTACCCATGTCGGGAATTGAACCCGGGCCTTGGCATGATGAGCGAACGCTTTAACCACTAGGCTACCCGACTGCCCCTTGTAGATATGACACTAAACAGTTCTGACCCCTACTGTAAAATAATAACCATGGCAATGTCAAGCCTGACTCATGTTTTCAGACATAGTTTATTTGATTTTATCAAATTTTACTGTGTACAATGACAGCAAATGCTTAACCTGTAGGAATTATTTTGTTATTTATCTGAACATACAGCACTAACCAAGCTGTATGAAGGCAGTCTGCAAATATTTGAGTGTCGACCAGACATTCCTTTGATTGACATCACAAGTGTGCCTGATCACCTGATTTATTTGGTTGCCTTCTATGACAAGCACTGGTTGCTAAGGTCCTACATTCTTATGCAGAATCACCCTGGTTTCTTTAGGAATTGAACTTGAAATTATTGTTCAACCTATTAATGTGTAGCTGTTGTGCTAGATTCCGACCTTGAAACAAGGCGAGGTTGTCCAGTTGATCAGCGAGGAAGACCGGGTCAAGGCTCTTCAAGATGGCCATGGGGAGTGGACTTCCGACATGAAACAGGTCAGTAATCTGTCGCTATGACACATGTTTTACCCAACAAAGACAGCAATCTCTGTAGAACTTATGTGGGCCAGCCCCACAAGGGGTTTAATACAGCTGTTTCCTTATGTAAGTATTTTCCTTATTTGCGACAGTCTCATCGCTAAGAATGCTTTGTGGAAGGAGTCCCTGGTTATTTTGGATGAAATTGTTGAGTACGATTGACATGTATCAAATTAGAGTTCGGTCACATGTCACATGAAATATATGAAACCAGAAACAATATACATGTCAATTCTCGGACACAGCCTTTCAAAATGGATTAAATGCAAGGCCCATTGGGTTAATTGTGATTAGTGAGTGGATTTTTTTATGAGATTAATATCACCTCGGTTTTCCATTTCTGAGGAAGAACTCATAATCCGTTGAATATTTCTTGATGAACCTTGCTATACAGATGAGCCAAATGGTGAACTGACACCTTGTGATGATTTGGGATTTTTATACCCTCGACCAAAGCTAGGAATTGAGTCTGTCTCTCCTTCCGTCTGTCTGTTCTTCTGAGGACGTGAAAGATACTGCATAAGTTCAAATTATAAATTTGGTGAACACTTTCTATACTAAATTGATTTCAATATTTGGATTTATGAAAAAATACAGGTATTTCTGTATTTAATACTTGAATCTTTTTCCTCAAAATTTTGTGTGACCTATTACTTGAAAACTACAGCTTGGATTCTTTTAATGTAATATTGAAAATGATGGCACTACGTTCGTGATCGTAGATGGGCTTTTGCAGGTCCATTGAATACACCAGACAAAGGATGATATAAAATGGATAATTTATCAACAGCAACATCTAGAGTGAATTATTTAGATACCCCGTTGAACGAGGACGCCCTTTGAAATGACTAACTTTAACCAACACCATTTCAGGTCTTAGGAAAGTGTGGAAAGGTTGTGAAGGTCGACGATGATGGGGATGTTGTGGTGGCGTTTGGCAAGAGGACATTCCTGTTGAACCCAGCTAGCTGTGTTCCCGCTCCAGGGGAGAAAGTGTTCGAACTGGCGGAATCTTTGTCCCCTCCCAGGTCCTCTGGGGCAGGGATTACTGGTAGGAGGGGGGTTACTTGAGGTCATTTGCCACAAAATACTTTACAAAGAATGAAAGACCCGTGAAGATTCCGGGGTAGAATAGGTCTTCAGCAACCCATGCTTGCCGAAAAAGGAACCGATGCTTGTCATAAAAGGCGACTAACGGGATCAGGTGGTCAGGCTCGTTGACTTGGTTGATACATGTCATTGATCCCAATTGCGTGGATCAATGCTCATGATATGAATCACTGGATTGTCTGGTCCAGACTCGATTATTTACAGACCGCTGTCATATAGCTGGAATATTGCTGAGTGCGGCGTTAAACAACCAACCAACCAACCAACAAAGAATGAAAAAACAAATCTGTGTTATTGCCTGGTATTTCCGGATTCATTACATTTCATTTCATTGAAGCATTGTATAATATGACCTTGACCTTTAAGCTAACCCTTGTCCTTGTAGAAACACATGGCGACCTCTTGAAGCTGATGGCAGCGATGATGATGAAAGATCTTCACATGGCTGTCGCTGACCCAGATATGATGTATCAGGCAATTGGGAAAGGCGATGCTGGCATGGTCAGGTCCATTGTCAGCAAAGCCCCTAAACTGGTAAGATGCTCGGGACGTTGACTGTATCATTGTAGAGACTTATATATCACTTATTTACATGTATGGTTGCCTTGGTCACCACAGCCTTAGGTCCTGCCTCAACATACACACAGTGCAGGGGGGGGGGGCGTGGCCAAAAGAGGTCATGTGGAACAGCGATAGAAACTAATAGTTTTCGTCCACTAGTCCTTATAATGATAACATGATAACACATAACACAGTTTGTAACGCTGTGGGGGCAGTCGGGTAGCCTTGTGGTTAAAGCGTTTGCTCGTCACGCCGAAGACCCGGGTTCGATTCCGACATGGGTACAATGTGTGAAGCCCATTTCTGGTGTCCCCCGCCGTGATATTGCTGGAATATTGCTAAAAGCGGCGTAAAACCATACTCACTAACTCACTCTAACGCTGTGGAACTGTATATATATGTTTTGATCATTCATTCCGAGGAAAATCACTTCTACCGCAGCTGGAAGGATGATGAGTTTAAACAGAATGATTTATTAGTTGATTTATAAATAATACAATGAAATTACATAAGAAAAAAACAGTTAGAGCATCAGATGATTTTGAATATTTTTCAAGAATTTCCAATTCTGGTTGAATGATAACACCTGCTGAATTCCACTTTCAGCTGAACGTCAACCACAAGGGTGTGACCCCACTGATACTGGCTGCCCATGAGGGTCAGACGGAGGTTGTGAGGGCGTTGCTGGAGCTGGGGGCGGACACCAGCCCGACAGATGGGAAGGGCCATACTGCTCTCCATGCTGCTCTCATTGGGTGGGTGGTGGTTGTAGGGTGGGGTGGGGCGGGATGCGGGGTTGTGTGTGTGGGTGGGGGAGTGTAGGTTCTGGCTATATGAAAGTTTGAAAGTCCTGGTAAGTACCATATTCGACGTAACAAGCGCCCTGCTCTAAAAATCGCCCACAGCGATAATTGCTTACATATTGACTAGTGAACAATCCCAATTAGCACCCCTTCCGATTGATCGATGTACACAAGACTTATTTATCCGTGTATACTACGCACTCGTGTGTTATATGCACCCTTAATTATGGGAAATGAAATTCTGGAAAAATATATACATAAACATTTCAGGCTGTCAGCATAAACCACAAAATTTATCTTTCAACTCTGTTTTTTCCACCAAAATAGTAATCTAATAAGAGCCCCCTATTTCTAATTTTGAGAGCGCCCTTGGCGCTTATTACGTCCAATACGGTATCTAACATGTCATTGTAGAGGAATGATATTCTGCACTAGAATATTAAGGCAAGGGCAGGGAGTGAGTGAGTGAGTGAGGAATGGTCATGTCTGTTGCCTGCATTGGATGAGGACCATCTCAGCCAAATAATGAGATCAAGTCCATTTGGAAAAAGCCAGAAAGCAATATTCCATTTATCTGTACACAGCCCAGCCAAGATCAGGGTCAGATTTGGTCTCCAACTACTCACGCATGTTGTAAAAGGCAAACTAACAGGATCAGGTGGTCAGGCTCGCTGACTTGGAGGGTTAGAAACTAACAGTTTTTGTCCACTAGTCCTTATAATGATAACATATAGCAAAACCCTTAAAATGGGCCAATTTCTACTAGTCCTTAGGATACCTTTACTTTTGGGCAGTTTGGTAAAGACTACTGGACTGGCACCAATTTCTAACGCTCACTTGGCTAATGCATTCATCGTAATGGCGTAGATCGATGCTCATAGTGTCAATCACTGTATTGTCTGGTCCAGACTTGATTATTTACAAATGACAGTCATATAGCTAGATTATATTGAGTGAGGCATTTACAACAAAAGACAATCAGTTACAGGGCAGAAGTGGTTCAATTGTTTAAATTCACTCTGAAGAATTGAGTTGCTTAACCATGACATGACTCATTCACTGTTTGTTCGATTTTAAAATTTGCCTGGAATATCATACCCTGCTCGTGGGCATCATCAAAATTGTATCTTCATCCTCCTGCATCATGGTCACTTGCTTCAGTTGTAAGATGCCAAGCTGTGAGGCAACTGAGTAAGACATCAAACTCAATGCGCCCACTCTTCATCATTCAGAAAAAAGGAGAAAACAGCACAGCTGCTGTTGGAGAAAGGTGCCAATGTACAGGTGTGTAACCACCAAAAGAGGTCAGCCCTCCACTTTGCTGCCTTCGCCAACCTCCCACGTGTCATGGAGGATCTCATCAAGAGGGGAAGTAACGTCAATGCAAAGGTGAGACTGACTGGTGAACCAACCCACTTCTCACACATGGCTTTGCAATAATGTCTTCTTTTCAGTTTATGGTCTTTTATGAATTCAAAACACATAGGATACTTGAATTTAGTATGGTTGATAAAAATGGTCTCCTTGTGTATTCGAAGTACAATAATAGCTTGGTGTAAACATGATAAAAGTGAGAGAGCAGAATTCCATCTTTATAATGACTGGGGACTCCAAGAATGGACTTCACATACTGTACCAATATGTACCGGTACTGTTCATGACCAGGGATAAGCTGAATTTTGAGGACCCAATCTCATCAAATCAGATCTTAGTTCTCGCTGTCGCTGAACAAAGATCTGAGGAAATCCCATTACGGGTCACGTCAGAACAACCTTTCATCCAACCAATCAGAGCGTCGCTTACCAGATTATGAAAGTGACAGACGGATTGTGTTTTCTGATCATTCAACCTCGAAATATTCAACAGTGGGTATTCCGAACGACAGTTACGGGTTTTATGATTATATCCATACAATCTAGGCCATCTGTAAGCCATTCCAGAATGTTCTTTTTATCAGTTTTAAATTTTTTAAACGCGAATACGTCAAAATATGTTTGAAGCGTAGTCGCCAGTTTGAAACTAGTGTCATAAAGATCGAGAAAACTGCCTTCTGATTGGCTAATATCGATTTCTTGTCAGTCATTTCATTGATCGGTCAAAGTTCTCGAGAGGTCATTCTGACGTGACCCGTAATGGGATGTCCTCAGATCTTTGTTTAGCGGTAGCGAAAACTTAGATCTGATTTTTTTAGGACCAGAAGATTCTGTAAAAGGGGTCGGCCTATGTAAGGGTTACACCTTCATCCAACTGTTTTTCTGTTAGTAAAAAACTACATCTAATCGCTTCAGGTGAACAAAGAACGCTACAACAAACTTTGACAATGAAAATGTGAAATTTAGGATTTAACATCTCTAGTCATGATGATTTACCATTTCGATTGTATTTTCTGTTATGCTAGGCATTGTTTTATATGTAGGGATTAAGATTTCCATGTGTATTGTTTCATCAACTAAGCCTGAAATAGCCATCAGCTGTACACATGTTTTCTCCCAATCTACTGGTGATCGTGTTAAAACATACCAATATATAAAGGAAACGAATTTTGATGCAATGAACAAAAGAAATATTATCTTAAACTTCAAATTTACTCAATAGCGGTAATATGATCGTGGTTGCTATGAATAGCGTGAGTTGGTGCTGTCACAGTATGTGGTAAAGCGGACCTTATGGAATGGGGCAAATGGAAGTTGTAACTATTGGGACACATGATTTTGTCCAAATTAATGTAAACATTATTCAATGAAATTTTGATTAAACTTAATAAAATAGATAACAAACATAAGTCCAGATATACAATGAACACTTTTTATTACCAGATGGTGTAACAACAGGATTAACTTGAGTAAATCAATACGGATTTGTTGATATTCTATTTCTGATGACAGATCATGATGAGAAAACATAAGTTGAAGTTGGTGGTCCGGCTTATGTACCACACACAACATTTTCATACAGATTTCAAGGACCAAGTTAATACCTTGGCTTATCTACGAGATCGGCTTATCTATGGTCATGTACGGTACTTCGGCATACGCCAACACTTAAGTCACTTTTTTCCAATGTTTAAACAACCGGCTGTATTATAATTTTTCCGTTAACACAATCTCAATCTGCAAAATTTATTTCAACTTCACTTCAATTTGTATATATAATTAACTTCTATAAATTTCAGGATGTGGCAGGTGACACAGCTCTTCATGATGCCATTCAGAAGGGCAACAGGGAGGCCATTGAACTTCTGATGAGAGCTGCCAAGATTGACCTCAGCATTCCCAACAACAAAGGCTTCAACCCTTTGCAGTTTGCTGCTTTTACTGGAAACACAAGGTAAATTATGTACTTCTTTAAACATTATCCTTTTCATCCACTCTAAGTCATCATCTGGTCTGTCTGTCCATCTGTCCGTCTGTCCGCCTGTCTTTCATTTCTGAAGCATCACTTGAACAATGTGAAAGATGTTTCATCCAAGTTTAGGGCGGTTGGGTAGCCTAGTGGTTAAAGCGTTCGCTCGTCACGCTAAAGACCAAGGTTCAATTCCCAACAAGCGTACAATGTGTGAATCCCATTTGTGGTGTCCCCTGCCGTGATATTGCTGGAATATTGCTAAAAGCGGCATAAAACCATACTCACTCAACCAAATTTGGTTTATGTATTTGCCAGTGGCTGAAGTGGTGCCTTTTACTTTTGAAGGGGCTGGGGGAATTTGTCATGTTCTAATGACACTTGTTTATCAAGATATGGGTAGCTTCATCTCGGACTGGATTCTGAGTGCTCAGTATCGGGGTATGAAGTCATGATAGCTTTGTCTAGCAGTGTAGATTCATCCCCATGGGGCTTCATACCAAAAGACGTTAAAAGATGGTACTTGTTGTTACCCTGTCTGTCGCTCGGCATTAAGGGGCTAAAACAAGGACTGGTCGGCTTGGAGTCAGTATACTGCGTCTGAGTGGGGTATTCATGTTCAACTGCGGCATGGTATCTCAGTGAGCTAGCACTATAAATCGGCATCAGTCTGGACTAGTACAAGCAGCCACACAAACACACACATGTACATGCACGTCGCTATATAAGTGCAATAATCTTGGACACGACGTAAAACCAAAATTCACTTCACCTCACGAGGTACCCTGTGATTGTTAGACTCGACCAGAGACTATGGGCCTGAACAATGTGTGATGTGGCTGATTGTTTGGCTTTGATGACGATGAAATGGAGTTAAACTTATCATTGAAGGTTGTTGCATGTATCGACGTGCGGGTGTGTGTGTGTGTGCGCGAACTGATCTGATGTCTGTCATGGAGCTATTAGCTACACTTTTTGGAGCATGTCAATCATGTTTATGTAAATAAAACGACTTTTGCCTGATCATTTGGTGACATCTTTTCAACCAAAATGACAATTAATTGACTTATGTTTTCCTCACAACATATTTATTACCAATTTATGTGATTCATTTTATATGCCCTCCCACCTGTCTCAAGAAAGGTGCGCTTGTCATGGTATCTACAAGCAAAACAAACACACAGGTTTCCTTGAAACAGCTATTTTCAGGCCGCCATGATGTAGCGGAATATTGCTGATTGCATGAAGCCTCACTCACTCACTCACTCACTCACTCACTCACTCACTCACTCACCCACCCACCCACCCACTCACTCACTCACTCACTCACTCACTCACTCACTCACTCACTCACTCACTCACTCACTCACTCACTCAGGACAGTCATTTGACGGAGAATTGATAATGCCCATTATGAATGATGTCATTTTTTTTTATCTGCGTTAAACAGTATTACATGTGTCACTAAGCAATTGAGTAAGCCTCAAAATAATAAAGTTTAAGTGTTTGACAACTTCCCCTATCTCTGATTTAAACTTCAGACAATCCCGAAAAGCCTTGTTTCACTGCTTTGTGATGACATCAAATAAGTGCTCATACAGCTATAGTTGACGTGTCACTGACTAAGCATAGCAATGTAACTCTTCAAAGTTTAACTGTAACATGCTATTGTGATTCAGCGCTACTCAGGCCATCTTGAAGAGAGACACCTCTGTGGTTAATCTTCAGAAGGGCGAGGACAGATTCGCCGCTCTCCACATCGCTGCCATCAACGACCATGTGGAATGTGCCAGACTTCTCATTGATGTGGTAGGCTTTTGAAGGCTGACCAGTCTTGTCACGTACATGGTAGGCTTTAGAAGACTGACCAGACTTGTCACATACATGGTAGGCTTTAGAAGACTGACCAGACTTGTCAGGTACATGGTAGGCTTTAGAAGACTGACCAGACTTGTCAGGTACATGGTAGGCTTTTGAAGACTGACCAGACTTGTCAGGTACATGGTAGGCTTTAGAAGACTGACCAGACTTGTCAGGTACATGGTAGGCTTTAGAAGACTGACCAGTCTTGTCACGTACATGGTAGGCTTTTGAAGACTGACCAGACTTGTCAGGTACATGGTAGGCTTTAGAAGACTGACCAGTCTTGTCAGGTACATGGTAGGCTTTTGAAGACTGACCAGTCTTGTCAGGTACATGGTAGGCTTTAGAAGACTGACCAGACTTGTCACGTACATGGTAGGCTTTTGAAGACTGACCAGACTTGTCAGGTACATGGTAGGCTTTTGAAGACTGACCAGACTTGTCACGTACATTGTAGGCTTTTGAAGGCTGACCAGACTTGTCAGGTACATGGTAGGCTTTAGAAGACTGACCAGACTTGTCACATACATGGTAGGCTTTTGAAGACTGACCAGTCTTGTCAGGTACATGGTAGGCTTTAGAAGACTGACCAGACTTGTCAGGTACATGGTAGGCTTTTGAAGGCTGACCAGACTTGTCAGGTACATGGTAGGCTTTTGAAGACTGACCAGACTTGTCACGTACATGGTAGGCTTTTGAAGGCTGACCAGACTTGTCACGTACATGGTTGACTTTTGAAGACTGACCAGACTTGTCACGTACATGGTGTGCATTCCGGAAGTTAGTAGACTAACAACTAAGCTTTCAAAAAGTGAACAGCCATTGTAAGGCATTCTGTACAGATGTTACAAGATTTACAATTAATAGCATGGGCTTTCCAGAAGATTCATAACTTATCATTATAAGGCTAAAGTATACAAAACCTACCAAGTTTATCTTTGACAGGCTAGATCACAGATTTATTTTCTGTCTGTTCTACTTTATGACTGGTAAAAGATATATGCCTCCTTTCTAAAGATGAGAGACGAGCTAGTTGTAGGCGATCCATGTCCTAAACTCTGATTGACGGGGTTAGACTTTCCACTCATGTAACGGTAACAGTGAAGGATCTCAATGATCCGGATTCCCAGTCATAACCAGGGGCACAGATGGCCCAGTCAAGTAAGGCGCTGCAATCACTGTGCAGAGCTCCGTCCTTTGGGCACATCAGAAACCAATGTTCGTGGGTTCACCCCGATTATGGTTTTATGTTTGTCAGCACCATGCCTGTGCTCATGGGTTTCACCACAGTGGTAAAGGCCTTGGCACTACATCACCTAGGGCGTGCCTCCCACATTAAGCTGACACTTGGAGACTTAACTGTACACACTATGTGTTGATAGGGGAAGGCCAAGGTTGATATCCAGGGTGCCAATGGAAGCACAGCCCTCCACCTCGCCTGCCACGAGGCTCTATACAGGACAGCAGAGTTGCTCTTGGAGAAAGGTACACACATTACGGTTACACAGCGCTTTAGGCTGTCAAGGTCATTGATAGAATAACATGTGACCTCCACCTCCCCTCAGTTCACAGACCTTCTTTTTTTGAAAGCACAATCAAATTGGACATTGAAATCAATTCAGATTGATACAAATCTCTCCGACAAATTTTGCAGGTGCCCCATTTTAATCAATTGTACAAAACTTCACTTTTACGAACCTTTGTTATTTATTGTCTCTGTGGGGATTCAGTGCAAGAAAAGGCCCCATCAGATCATTCTTGTCATGGGAGCACACTTGAATTGTGGTAGGTCAGGCCCTGTGACTTTATTGATGCCTTTCTTAAGCCATCACACACTGCTAGACTTGATTCCTGTAATACCACCATCAACGATGTGGGTAAAAGCTACCTGTGGCGTAAAGCAACATTCACTCCAGCATTTGCCTTGTTCCTGTGTACCTGCCACGTTCGTGTTGCCGCAGGTGCCGACCCCAACGTGAAGGATGTGAGCGGCAACACAGCGTTACACATCGCCATGGGCGCAGACAAATCTACAGGAAGAGGCACAGAGCATCAACTGGTGAGACCAGATTTACCTTGATGTCAACTGCAGCGTTAGAAATTGGCGCTAGTCCTGTAGTCCTTACCAAACTGCCTAATAGTAAAGGTATCCTAAGGACTAGTAGAAATTGGCCCATTTTAAGGGTTTTGCCATATGGTATCATTATAAGGACTAGTGGACAAAAACTGTTAGTTTCTAATCCTGAACTGGCTCGACATTAAATGCACTTAGAGCTTGCATCTATATGCTCCGAACGTATTTCTGTGTTTTAGTAAAGGAGATATAATGAAACGGGGCCCTGATCTAACCCTGGTCATAATGTTAAGCCTGTGACTTTGAATTCCATCTTATTTAAACCGACAATTGAACTCTCTTGTGCGATGAACCTGCATGTCACTTAAATATAGAATACTAAACGAGCTCCCGTGTAATACCAATTTTATGAAACGAGTGAATAGTTCTGGTATCTGACGAGCGAAAGCGAGTCAGATACCACAACTATTCACAAGTTTCATAAAATTGGTTTTACACGAGAGCGAGTTTAGTATTTTATTTATTACTTGTCATTTATAATGTTTTTAGAATTATACTGTTGAGTGTAAATAGGCTGACACCTACACGATCCATGGCATAATCCAATTGAGTTTAACAGAATAATACTTCAAACACGTCAAAAGTTGAAACGTATGAATTTAATATCATACAATGGTCCACCTTTAGAATTCAGGCGTTCGTCCCACAAAATTATCGCAGTGCTAAGGCTATCACAACTCACATAATTTAACTTAGACTAAAGACTCTCGTTGCGCTAGAGTACGATCGCCTTGTGGAACGGGGCTTTGCAGCTCAAAGTTTACAATGACGTCACAATACCCGATGACGTAATTTGTTGAATTTTGTTGCAAGATCCATCGGCGAAACAATGCCATGTGACGTCAGCCTAGCAACAAGGTTGCTGGGGTCATCGAGTGTGCATAAACTCCTCCCAGTGATCTATCATCTCCACACACAATGTCGTTGAATACGCCAAGGGATGTTGAGAGCTTTCAATATTTGTTCGTGAAACGTGTTCCGAGAGTACATAAGCACGCGTTTTGGTATTACACAATGTGTAATAAAGCTGTATGTTTATTAAACGAGTGATCTCTTCACGGGCAAGTAATAAATACAGATTGTTACAAAAATCTATTTTCTTATCTAGTGTTATCAATGTTTGCAAAAATGGATATAATTATTGATCAAATTTTTTAAATTAAATCTAATTCTTGTTGTCAATATGAATACAGAAAAGTACTTGTTTTATACCAATGCGTTTAGAACCCAAATACTCCAACTTTGACAATATGCAAGTATGTTAAAACTGTTTTTGTTAAAAAAATCCCAAAGAAATATGTTGTATTTTATACTGTTTGTACTGAAGATGTATTTTGTTTGTACAAAAAGGCTTGTGGCCTACAAGTACTGAATAAAGTTAGAGAAGTGAGAGGAAAAATTCTTGTTATCACATTGCCCAATCAAAAGTTTGTCGTGACATGACTTAAATTATGTTTTCTTGTTATCATTGCTGTGTTAGATGTCTTGTCCCCTTAACCAGTTACATATTTGAGGTACATTATGAACTGTCTGTGACCTTTACAAAACAGAACCGGTTTCTCGTGCCTGCACTTGCCAAAGTGAAACATTGATCTGAACAGTGAGTGCATGTTAATCATTGCTGTAGGGTACCCTCGAAAAGATCAGCTGTTATCAATATTTGGAAGATCAGTGGGTAAACACAAGTGATGTACCCATAAAAAAATACCAATAGTGAACTTTAATAATGTGAAATAACACAGACATATAGAGATTCTGGGTCAGACATGGTTCCAGGATTATCATGCCTGTAAGAACCGAGTGAAATGGGATCAGGTGTTCAGGTCATGTGGTTTGGCTGACTGAGTGTTATTGTACCCAAATAAGTGAGGAACCCCTGAAGATCCGGGGTAGAATAGGTCTTCAGCAACTCATGCTTGCCGTAAAAGGCGACTTTGCTTGTCGTAAAAGGCGACTAATGGGATCGGGTGGTCAGGCTCGATGACTTGGTTGATGCATGTCATCAATTGATCACTGGATTGTCTGGTCCAGACTCGATTATTTACAGAATGCTGTCATATAGCTGGAATATTGCTGAGTGCGGCGTTAAAAGACAAACCAACCAACCAACCAAAATAAGTGAGGGTGCTTACTCTATCAACCATTAGTTTGCCTGATCCAGACTGGACCTGGTATAACTGACAGTAACCAGAATGTTAGTGACTGTGGCATAAAACAACATTAAACCTTAAGTCTTCAAGCTCAGGGCATGTCATGTTTCAGTTGGCGGCGCTGCTTGGACTGACGTCACGCACCGACGACGAGGCACGCGTGAAGCTGGCATGTCTGTTGCTGCAGAAGAAGGCCATCATGGACGCCAAGAACAACAATGGCGCCACACCACTGGATGTTGCCAAGAGTCCCACAGTTAAGCAGGCAGTACAGCTATTTGTCAGACAAAAGTGAGATCATTTAAAGCTTATAATGAAAACTTGTGTGAAGTACTTAGTTGTGGGTTTGAATCCCAGATTTACCCCAAAACTGATTCTGGTCTGTCCTCCCTATACCTGTGCTCATTGGTTTGAACAATTAGGTAAAGGTCTAGAAGCTGTGTCAGTTGGGGTTATCCCACAACATAAAGCTGACATGTCGTGAAATAACGTTCAAAGCGATGTGAAGCTCCCCCACTTTCTAAAGGTTTCTAAGGATTCTGAGGCAGAAATTGTGTGCCCTGGCTACCGGGATGTCATCGTATCCAGATGATGTTTATCAGTGCTCATGCCGTCAACCACTGGTTTGTCTGGTGTAGCCGGAATCAGCAGTGTTAGAAATTGGCACTAGTCCTGTCCTCCTTACCAATCTGCCCAATAGCAAAGGACTACCGGTAGTAGAAATTGGCCTTTTTTAAGGTTTTGCTTTATGTTATCATTATAAGGACTAGTGGAAAAAAACTGTTAGTTTCTTACCCTGATTAGTAACTGGCAACCCTGACATAGCTGGAATATTGCTGAATATGACGTAACGCAACATTCACTCACTCAGTGTAATTGATACAGCAGTGGGTTGTTTCATTATTGTCCAGTTTTGAACCTCAGGTGTCAATATGTTTAAGGAACACTTTGGCGAGATAGATATTCTGATGGTTAAATTGGTATGTATGGATGAACCAACACTGAAAATAATAGAAGCCCCACTGTTGACGATTGTACACTCTTCCAGCCAGGGTTCCATCCAGCGTTCCGCCACCTCCACCCCCCGAGGGGGTGGGGCAAGGGTCCAGCTGCGCACCACCATGTTTGACATGCAGCTCCCGTGTGCCAAGTGTATGAGCAAGATGGCGGACATCACCCTGATGCCGTGTGGGCACAAGATCTTGTGTCGACAGTGTTGCCTGACTACCGAGATATGTCCACTCTGTGAGACCCACATTGAGCGTAGACTCGCCAAAAAAGGTAAGACATAAGATGGCAGTGTGAGATTCACCATGAGACAAGATAAACATTAACTCCTGTGTCCGATCTCAGTGATAGTTCCGTGGCAAAATAGGTCCCGTTGGCCTTCTAGAAAGAACCATCTAAAATAGTCCCACATGTGTCCTTTTCTTTTCTATTTCTTCTCAGTTAAAACAGCACAACAAATTACCTTTTTGGAGTGACAGCACACCTTGTGAATGATTTTTGTTGTTGTTTTACTTGTTATTATCTGCCCCCTAACGCCCAGGAAGATGAGATGGTTTTATTTTTCACCAGCCAGAACCAGAAAAAAAATTCAAATTCAATTCGTTAGGCCCACTATTAAATACAAATAAGAATGAAGTCCACAAAAATTATTTTCATAATCATAAAAAATCCATTGTATGATTACGACTATATCAAAGGCATGTGTCTCTGAATCAATCTCAAATAAAGATGATAGTATATGTTCGTGAAACTACAATTACTTATATAATGATCATGAGCCATGGTTTTGTCTGACACAACTCATCACAGGTACACTAGCTGTAAACATTCTGTATATCCTGAGGGGGCAGGGGTGGCCCAGTTGTCTGAGGCGCTGCGATTCGCTGTGCAGAGTTGCATCCCTTGGGCACGCCAGAACCCTATGATTGTGGGTTTGAATCCCGGTTCACCCCGATAGTGTTTCTAGGATTGTCAGCATCATACCGGTGCTCGTGGGTTTCACCAAAGTGGTAAACGACTGAGACGTGCGTCACTTGGGGCTTTCCTCCCACATTAAGCTGACACACTGTGGTAAAACTAGAATACTGTTAAAAGCAGTGTTAAACCAAACTCACTCACTCACTCACTGTATATCCTGCACTGAAAACAGAATTACCATGTATTCCCAATAAACTGGTCAGCCAATATCGTTATGTCATATAACATAAATCATATTGAGTGCCACATATTTTTATTTCAACCTTATTGGATAGCAAACCATCCATGGACTATGAAAATCATTGGGCTCACCCAGTGTTTTGCCATTTCAGAGCGAGCTGACTTTGAGGAACCTTGCAAAGTTCAGTGAGGTGCCCTGGCCCTGAACTGACAAGATGGGATCTATCGTCTGAACAGATATACCATTAACAGACAGATGAAGCAAGATTCTCTTTTGTTCTCAAAGTTACCTTTCATGATCATAACTATTGGCAAGGGCTGGCGAATGTGATGTCGACATCTTGCTTGTTTGGCACTTAGCCATGGGGATATAACTGTTCAGTGAAGACTTGTTAACCAGGACTCTGTCAACTTATATGTCACTTGACACTTTGTATGTGCACCCTAGTTTCACATCTGCACTCGCTTCTCTCGAACTCCTCACAACTTGATATTTGTTGTAGTTTTAGTATTAATGGTATTGTGTATTTGCATTACATGTACAACATATGATGTCTCAAACGAGGGTAGGGTCCGTTCAATCCAATCAGTCTTTTTCCATGAAACTTGGCATCTGCATTTCTCATCAACTGAACTGGTGCCTTTTGCTATTTTGAAAGTTTTCTATGTTTTATCTTCTTATGTTACCATGAAAACAATTTGACTTTGTCTCAAATGAGGGTAATGTTTGTTTCCAGGCCATAAGTTAAAAACCTCAACATGTTTTTAAACAAAACTGGGCATATGCAATGTTGATCAGCTTAACTGGTGCCTTTTGTCATTTTAAAGTTTTACAAACAATTTAGGCTCCGTTTTTGAGCCATAACTCTCAAGCTAATGAATATGTTAGCATGAAACTAACTATACATTGGCAATGACCACATGCTGGTCTAATGCCTTTTCATATTTTGCAATTTAAAAAATTTTTTCTTATGTTTCCATGGAAACAGTTTAGAAATTCATAAAAGTATTTCCACTAAGCATAAAGCTACAGATTGTTCATTATAGGTACATCTTCTTGCACAATAGAATCTTTGTCATCCAACTCCTGTTACGAGTTCAATAGTTTTATCTGCCATAAAGTGTCAACATGGCATCTGTAATGCTGCATCATAAATGCATAAATAAGAGACCCATGAAGATTCCGGGGTAGAAAAGGTCTTCAGCAACCCATGCTTGCCCTAAAAGGCGACTATGCTTGTCGTAAAAGGCGACTAACGGGATCGGGTGGTCAGGCTCGCTGACTTGGTTGATGCATGTCATCGATCCCAATTGCATGGATCGATGCTCATGATATCAATCACTGGATTGTCTGGTCCAGACTCGATTATTTACAGACCGCCGTCCTATAGCTTGAATATTGCTGAGTGCGGCGTTAAACATCAAACAAAACAAAACAAAGTATAAATCAGAATCAGTATCTGTATGTGTTTGATTTTGTTGATTTTCGGATTTGCAATCACATTTATAGTAACTTGAACTAATGTATCAACACAGTTTAGTCTTACCTGTTTATATCCAGGTTTTATTAGTTCTACATAATCCCAGATATTACTTTCTTCAGTATTAAGTTAGTGTGTTTATTTGGTGATCTTTGTCCTCAGTATATTAAATGAATTAAACATTGACCTTCATCATGCATAATAATGCATGGGCGGATACAGAGGGGGGGTGCGGGGGTGCGCATCCCCTCTTTTTATTTCGAAAAAATCTTTATTTCTGTATAAATTACCACCAAAGACAATAAATAGATCTGAATTGAGCACCCCCCCGTTTTCAAAAAAGCTGTATCCGCCCATGATAATGCATTATATGTAATCATGTATTCTCATTTTCATATTTGTTATTGAAGGAGGAAAAAAAATATAATACACAAACTCATTATGCTCACTCAAAATACTATTGCTTGCAGTGTTGTCTACACCTTTGAGAGACAAAGCTGACTTGTATTTTCAGTATATTTTGTCAATATTTAACAACATATATATATTAGAAATCGAGTATAATATTATTCAGAATGATTGCTGAAAAAATCAGACAATATACTTTAAGTCTTGTGAAACAAAATGTTGTAAGTCGATATGGTTTTCGTCACACATGGGAGATAACTCTTCTTGATGGTGTTTGCTTTCTGCTACTTGGTATTTCTACAGGGAAACGCTTCTTCATATCTATGTTACGGAATATGATCATGCATTGCAGTTAGTTCAGTACTAGTCAACATTCTAGCCCACGTTATTTGCTTTGAGGAAAGGGGAACATTTGATTGATGTGGTTGGCTGTTCAAGGTTGTGTACCTGAGTATACACAGCTCTTTACCTCCAATGTTTACTTTATTTACCAGTTTTACAGAGGAAATAACCCTGTCTAAACCAGCACCTTCATTATCCAGCACTCACAATTAACTGGGATTAAGGATTATGTTTTGAGACTAACACCTTTCTTTCTTGTTGTACAGCCATACACCTGTACCTAGTGATGAGTACTGACCAGTGTTGAAATAAATAAAATTATCAGGCACCCAACAGGACCAACAGAGTTTAGAAACTGCAGGCCCCGACTAAACTCTTCAGGCCCTCATTAAAAAAATGCATCTTTTTGTGACAATAAATCAACATGTAAATTAACTGGAGGCCATAAGGACCCATACAAATTTGAAACCGCGGACCGACACATGATCTTCCTGCCACGGGTGTACGGACAAGTGATTTTTCGAACACTGGCACTTTTTTGAAGGAGCAACTTGTGTCATCACTGATTTACAGTGATCCATTCGTATAGTTTTCACCAGTATTTTGCCTTTTGGACCCGGTGAGTGTCTGTTTCGATGGGTGGACGGGCCTAGTTCTCTAGTGTTGATGCTGTGTATTAACATATATCTTGTGTGTGTGTTGTAACTGAATGGTGTCATGGGGATGTTGTAAGCACCTTCATTGTTAAACTAGTAAGCATGTGGCAATTTGGACTGAAGTCTCTTCCAGGAATACACTGAGATGAGATAGCCTGTATAACATATCCATTGTCTCTCTGTTTCATGGTTAGGGACCAACGATATGTTTTTCACAACTCAAGTTAGCTCACCTGACTGAAAGTCAAGTGGTCTTTTGTCCTTGGATGTTTGTCTTGCGTCCGTCCAGTGGACATTGTCATTAAATGTCATCAGGAACCTTCAAGTGGCACCTTTTTCTCATTGCTTTTGCGATTTGTGTGAAGGAGTATTCAGGATTCAGGAGTAAGCAATGACACCCAGAGTGAAAACTTGGATGGTTTAAGGATTTCGAGGAGGGGGTTGGCACCCTGACAAATAGTGCATTCAATTTTACAGATTTAGAAACATTATGGAAGTGTAGTAACTTGTTGTTTTACTTTCAGGCATCGAGAACGACCAGCGAACACTTTTTAGGGTGTTAGAAATAGGCAGAATTGTTTCCCAGTATTTTCTGGAAGAAACGAGATCCCAGTATCACCCCATCCTCCCTAACAGGAACCTCAGGTCTCCGCCGACTGTCTCCCCGAGGTCTTCCCCTCTGAAACAGTGAGGTCATGATACCCATACAACAGTGAGGTCATGATACCCATACAACAGTGAGGTCATGATACCCACACAACAGTGAGGTCATGATACCCACACAACAGTGAGGTCATGATATCCATACAACAGTGAGGTCATGATATCCATACAACAGTGAGGTCATGATACCCATACAACAGTGAGGTCATGATACCCATACAACAGTGAGGTCGTGATATCCATACAACAGTGAGGTCATGATACCCATACAACAGTGAGTTCATGATATCCATACAACAGTGAGGTCATGATACCCATACAACAGTGAGGTCATGATACCCACACAACAGTGAGGTCATGATACCCACACAACAGTGAGGTCATGATACCCACACAACAGTGAGGTCATGATACCCACACAACAGTGAGGTCATGATACCCACACAACAGTGAGGTCATGATATCCACACAACAGTGAGGTCATGATACCCACACAACAGTGAGGTCATGATACCCACACAACAGTGAGGTCATGATACCCACACAACAGTGAGGTCATGATACCCACACAACAGTGAGGTCATGATACCCACACAACAGTGAGGTCATGATCCTCATACAGCACGGTTTGGTCAGCATATGTGAACAGGATGATTTACTTATGTACAGGATGGTAATGACTTCTATAATTTATGAACGTTGTCTTGATAAGTGTGACACGAATATGTCTTCGTCTTGTTATATATAGAATATAGGACGAGTCGTCCGATTGAAGTGTCCTTAACCTTGAGTATTATAGTGTATAATTCACAGGTCCACTGTTGAAATCAGTCCCGAAGCTATTGATTCATGTCAGAGTCGAGTTCCCCGTTTGATCACATTTGCATCTAGTACTACTGTAAACACTATATTTTAATGCGAGTGAATTGCGTCCAAAACCTGATTGAGATCTCGTGATGGTGCACTGTCGCGGTAGACAGGTATTGCCATCTTCGCGGTGACCAGTTTTCTGTCACTCGTTCGTCTGTCAGCTTCCCCATTGCCTCCATGTGTATGGCATTAATACAATGTATTGTTGTGATGTCATATTTGACTTTATTGAATATCTGTGTGTTTTTAGTTTAAAGACAGACTCCGTACTCCGCAAATGTGAATCACATTATTGAAGTACTTTCCTTGACGTCTTGCTGTATGATATACATGTAGTTCAAACAAGATTACCCTGTCAATTAAGCAGATACAATGCCAGCGGTTTACACTACAACCTGAACAGTCCTGGTAGAATGCTTAGCCATAGAATAGTTCTGTATGGACACTCCATCGGATTATATATTAGGCAGGAACTGAGTCAACGCGATGCACACACACACACAGACAAATTCTGTAAGGTTGATAATGTTGATAATTATGTAGGCCATTTTCTGTCATGTAATACCACGTGCATTACAATTGCTTTGCATATGTAATTATTATAAACTTCAAGAATAAACCGAAGACAATTCTTCAATGATCGTGTTTCATGTTGTGTTTAATATTTTCATTTAACATATACTCAAAGAGCCGTGATCATGTACCGCCTCCGTGGTCTAGTGGTAGAGCGTCCGCCCGGAGAGCGGAAGGTCCGGGGTTCTATCCCCGACCGCGTCATACCAAAAGACGTTAAGAAATGGTACTTGTTGTTACCCTGTCTGGCGCTCGGCATTAAGGAGCTAAAACAAGGACTGGTCGGCTCGAGTCAGTATACTGTGTCTGAGTGGGGTATTCATGTTAAACTGCGGCATGGGAACTCAGTGGGCTAGCACTATAAATCGGCATCAGTCCGGACTAGTACAAGCAGCCACACAAACACATACACGTACATGCACGTCGCTATATAAGTGCAATAATCTTGGACGCGACGTTAAACCCAATTTCACCTCACCTCACCTCACCTTATACTGTTGTCAAGCAAGGAAAGGAAGGATCTATAACCAAAACGTATAAACTAAATTAAAGAAGTCGTTATCCTTAAGGTGTGTCTGCTTTGATGTCCGTCAACTCCTATCAAACATTTCAAGTTATTATTAACTGTGATTGGTTAGTTTCATTAACCATTTATGTGCACAACAATTTGAATGTGACCACAAGTTTGTGGCGTGACCTTATCTATGAATATTAGTGATTTGTGAATTTAAGCTAAATAGTACATAGTACATCATCACTATTTGAAAGTGATGTTCCTAAACGCATGGTTATGATATAGTGGAATCATAGAATATACTCTGTTTTAGTTTTAGCATAGATTCTTGTGATACTGGAAATGGTTTTGTCGCTTATATAAATGCTCCTCCGAGTTCTCCTGAAGTGGAGAAAAGCACAGTGCTGCAGATTTTACATATCCTATCATGGTCGATCGTTTCTGATTAAGGTCCACGGCTTTCATGTGTACATTTAAAACCAGAACCGTGACGATCCCAGGTAGAATTGGTCTTCAGCAACCCATGCTTGCCCTTAAAGGCGGTTGTGCTTTTCGTAAGAGGCGACTAACTTAAACCCAACCAATTTAGCCCATAAAAGCTAAAACCCCCGAAAAGATTTTATCTATCAAATTCTGAATCCAACTTCACCCCCTGATGCTAATGATGCTCTCAACAGTAGTGCTCCCATGTATCACATGTTTTTCACATCTTGGTATTCAGGCGCTGAAGAGCTCCGAAGTATGGAATGATTGTCTTCCCTTGGGAATCGAGGAACAGGATAAGTTCCAGGTAAGCCACTCGTGTCTCCCCTTGGGGATCGCGACCCGTGACAATTCCGGGGTAGAATAGGTCTTCAGCAACCCTTGCTTGCCGTAAAAGGTGACTATGCTTGTCGTAAAAGGCGACTAAGGGGATCGGGTGGTCAGGCTCGCTGACTTGGTTGATGCATGTCATCGTATCCCAACTGTGTGGATCGATGCTCATGATATTAATCACTGGATTGTCTGGTACAGACTCGATTATTTACAGACCGCCGTCATATAGCTTGAATATTGCTGATTGCGGCGTTAAACAACAAACCAAGTAAGCAACCAACCAACCTTGGGGATCGCAGCGCTAAAGAGGTCCTACGTATTCCCTGCTTGTCTCCCCTTCTCAGGACAGGTTCCAAACATACCCTCCTTTGAGCAGACTATTTAAGTCCACAGTGCCCAATGCTTGTATGATCCGACGATTGACAATTGGATGTGTAACGCTGTGCTAATTGTGTGTGAACGTCCGACAGCGTGGCTTGTTACTTATGGAAATAGTCACTGGTTTGTCTGGCCCAGACTTAGTTATTTACAGGATTCTGTGATAGAGAGGGAATATGACTGACTGCTGCAAAACAACATCGGCTCACTAAATCACTTTAGCTGATAAGCTAATAGCTGAAATGCTAATAAATTTGCTTTGAACAATTTGTAAATGCTACATACTGCCCTAATGGCTCGCAGCGAGAACCGATTTTGTCAGATCCCTGTGGTATCGGATAAGATCATTAGTTTGGATATTGTAAAATATTCTTATTCTTTAATGTATTTTAGAAGTACTTACTGGATCTTCTTCAGCTCTTTGTCTAAAGAGATGGTGTACAAGGATTTTTATTTCAAATATTTACTTGCACAAAGCGAAGTAATATGGCTTTAATCCACTTTGCTATCATTGTTGGTATGCCAAGTTAAATAATCTTCAGTTCGACGTATTAAGGGGAGATATGGTACTGGTGGCACAATGACCAAAAGATCATTAAGCAAAGTTACGCCCTTTGTCGTGCCAAGATCTCCTACGGGTTCGAGTCCGATGTCTATTCCCATTGAGACCCTTGGTCAGTAAACACCATACCTTTACGACCTGTGTCCTTTTTCGGCTTCAGCCTCACTTTCATCTGACCTGCCGTGATAAGATTCAAAGCGGTCTTACACCAAAATTCACTCATGATATGTTCACGGAAAACCACGTACTGCGGACAACAGAGAAACAGGTACTCACGTGAGCTTACACGAATGGTACTCTCGGCCGAGTTGAGCGGAACATATGAACACCAATTGGCTGTAGTATACATGTAGTAAATCAGGTGAGTGAGTGAGTGAGTTGGGTTTAACGCCGTTTTTAACAGTTTTCCAGTCATATCACGGCGTGTCAGCTTAATGTGGGAGGAAAGCCCGAAGTGATGCAGGTCTCAGACGTTTACCACTTCGGTGAAACCCACGAGCACGGGTATGGTGCTGACAAACCTAGGAACATAATCGGGGCGAACCGGGATTCGAACCCACAATCATAGGTTTCTGGCGAGCCCAAGGGACGCAACTCTGCACAGCGAATCGCGGCGCCTTAGACGACTGGGCCACCCGTGCCCCCGTAGATCAGGTGACGCTGAAATGACAGTGTGGAGGGTGCAACCGGTGGGGCAGGATACGCTCTCCCCTTCGCGAATACGGGCGGTCGGGTAGCCTAGTTGTTAAAGCGTTCGCTCGTCACGCCGAAAATACGGGCTCGAATCCCGACATGGGTACAATGTGTGAAGCCCATTCCTGGTGTCCCCCGCCGTGATATTGCTGGAATATTGCTAAAAGCGGCGTAATACCAAACTCACTCACTCACTCTTCGCGAATACCTCATATCATCACTATTTTGATAGTGATTGTGAAACAGATGATTATGATATAGTCCGAATCGTACAATGGACTGTGTTTTTATCAGGGATTTCTTGTGATGGTGGAAATGGTTTTGTTGCTTTTATTTAACCGAGATACCTCCAATGTGAAACTGTATGTGAAGATATTTGACAGCATGACATTTGATATTTCATCGATTTTAAGAGTCGCGAACTTTCATGCGGAATCCAATGAAGCCTTCCATGAGCCATTATTTCTTTGTCCCAGTGAATTACGTGTCTCGATAAATGATAAGATAAGACTCTAAAGACATATTATATTTTGCAATAAGAGTGACAATTATTAAAAAATGAGCTTTGTTACTTTCCATCCCACATCCCTGTTGATCTTTGTATCTTTTATATTTGTAAACGTTCTTAAAAATCGATAGGAAGGAAAAAAAACTACTTTATATTTTCATAATATGTAAATAAAAGAGTCTGTTCCACAGAATGATTGATAACAATTATTTAGGTTTGTCCTGAAACAGGTGTTGTGACATCTTCCAGTCCCAGAAAAAATGAATAAAAATTGTCTCAAAGATCCAAGCAACACCCCCCTCAGAATATGACATGGTCAGACCCTATCTATATATATTGTTCTGGTTCTATTGTCATTTAGTTACACTTCTAAAAGCTATATTCCATCATTATTATTGAAGTCCAACCAGTGGCCGCCCCCTTCAGGAACATCTACACCCTCACACAGACAGCTAAAAGACACAGTAGATACAGCAGCACATCTAGGGCAGGGCATCCCGAGGCTCCGGTTATGTACCGTGGTCCGTTGCAGAGGTCGGTGGAGTTGCACAGAGTGACGCACACCTGGTAGCCGCGGTTGTCGTAGCCGCAGGTGGTGAAGTTGGACGGGCTGAGGTTCTTCAGGATGGACAGGTCGAAAGAGAACGTCCACCCGTCCGAACAATCACGGATGTAGCTTAAAATAGTCCCGGCAACTGCGGATAGATAGAATGGTTGAAGGATGAGGCTTTGAAACCAGTAGAAGACATACCTCGACCAGTGATCGATAGAGTGAACACTGACTAACGCCGCCAGTAGGCTGTTACACAAAGGCTTTTTCGGTCAAAATGTTCTATTTCAGACTACATATCAATCTTTTATAAAATGCCTTGTCTACACTCGATAATGTCTAGAATATTGCCGATTGTGGCGTAAAACACATCTCGCTCTTGCGTCTCTATGATGGCCAAACTACACGTGACATGGCACCGCCTACAAATATGATCAAATGTAGATATTACATCTAATTTTTCTCTTCGTGTTTCTGTCCAAATACTGTCTTTTGAACTTCCAAACACTGTACATCTGACACCATTGGGATGCGGGTAAGAATAGCCCACGCCAACTTATACTTGTTGGTTGGTTGGTTTGTCGTTTAACGCCGCACTCAGCAATAATCCAGGTATATGACGGCAGTCTGTAAATAATCGAGTCTGGACCAGACAATCTAGTGTTTAATGTCATGAACATGGATCTACGTAATTGGAATCGATGACATGCATCAACCAAGTCAGCGAGCCTGACCACCCGATCCCGTTAGTCGCCTCTTACGACAAGCATAGTCGCCTTTTACGGCAAGCACGGGTTGCTGAAGACCTATTCTACCCCGGATCTTCACGGGTCACTTATACTTGTGAGAGGCGACAAAATGGATCGGATGGCCAGCCTCGGTGACTTGATTTTATTGTATGCTCTAATACTCCGACGTCATGGGACGTTGCTCATAATATCAATCGGGGCGGTCAGGTAGCCTAGTGGTTAAAGCGTTCGCTCGTCACGCCGAAGACCCGGGTTCGATATCCGACATGGGTACAACGTGTGAAGCCCATTTCTGGTGCCCCCCGCCGTGGAATATTGCTAAAAACGGCGTAAAATCAAACTCACTCACCCATAATATCAATCGTTTGTCAGTCAGTTTATTTATATGCTGATATGATATTTCTGGAATATTTCTGAGTGCGGCGTTTAACAACAAACAAAGAAACTTTCATCCGGCAGTTAGTTGCACCTACTTCCATTTCGGACCTCTTCGATCATACACATGGTTCTGTTGACGAAGGTATCGCAGTTCTTGTAGTGAAGTGCCTGACTACCGGAATTATCCACAATGACCCCGTTGCTGTTGTTTTTGGCATCAAAGACCTGTTTAGCCACAGTCAGGAAATTTTCATGCCCGTCAATACAGTCCCCTTTACCCCCAGAAGCACTGCACTGATAGCACAGAAGACAACCTGAAAACAATGGTTGCACAAACACGTTAAAGTTTACAATCATGATTTTACGACATGCTCAATCATCGTCTTCTTGACGCTTTGGAATTGTTAAATATACCAGTTGCAGTTCTTACAATTGCCACACAAGTTATTATAATATTGATATGACGGTGGGTTAGTATTGTATGTTCTTTTTGTGCCTACCTCTGCTAGGAGCATCGGTTTGAGTTAAAGACTATTGGTAATATTGGTAAATACCGCAACCAGAGTGCGTGTCCCCCTTGCTTTGCAGAGCTGTATATACTTTGTGCCTGGGGCAAGATACCATTTGACAATTGATGTGATAAGAGTATTCTGTATTGTTTCGAGCTGTTTCTACTTACTCTCTCTGGCTGCAGATACTTGGACTACACAAGCTGCATCTTAATCTTGAATAAACTTCCAAATCATGGGAAAGGTTCACTCAGTTGAGTCAACTCAGCGTTTAGGTCATAAGTGTAATTTTACTTCATTCATGTATTTCAATTTCCAAAGGTAAGATGAGATGAAATGGAGTGACGTCGCGTCCATCATTATTGTACTTATATAGCGACGTGCATGCACGTGTGTGTGTTTGTGGCTGCTTGTACTAGTCCGGACTGATGCCGATATATAGTGCTAGCACACTGAGATACCATGCCGCAGTTTAACATGAATACCCCACTCAGACACAGTATACTGACTCCGAGTCGACCATTCCTTGTCTTAGCCCCTTAATGCCGAGCGCCAGACAGGGTAACAACAAGTACCATCTTTTAACATCTTTTGGTATGATCGAACCCCGGACCTTCCGCTCTCCGGGCGGACGCTCTACCACTAGACCACGGAGACGGTCCAATTTCCAAAGCAAATTATTTGTGATCTGACTGTCAGCCCCGAACAAGACGTCAAAGTACATGTGACACGGCCAACTTTCTTAAATACTAGTAATCACCATTTACGTTCCTGGTTTCTAGAAGAGGAATTCTGTTCAATGTGGTGTTAAACCCAATTCACTCATCCATCCTTATTTACTGTTTGTCCTTTATTTGTTTCTACTTTGAATGGTATGGAAGCTCCTTTCTTCCATGGAAATATATACTTTAATAGCGTAACCTCGTTTATACTATCACGCATGGGGGTTCAAGGACCCACAGTTCGCTTTTTGACCTTTATTTAGCCCGTTATAAAATTATCCATTGTGGCCCTTTGGTTTAAATAAATAAATACTCAAAACGCGACAATGTGAACCGCGACTATTGTTTTGGTTGTTTTCGTTATTTTGTAGTGAGTGTTTAAGGGCGACATCGCGACGATGTCTCTTCTAGGGTCCCATACCAAGCACACCCGCCATTCGTAGCGTGACGGTACAGTCAATATGCCTAATGGCCCCTTGCCAAGCGATGACCAGGCCCGCTCTGCCATTTAGAGTTTAGGCCGCACAATAACAACGAAACCGGATCGTTTGTCGTTTACACAAATACAAAACTTGCCTGCTAATATCAATAAAATTAATAAACCCATAAATATACAGATATGCTTAACTTGTGATCTAAAGTTGAAATCAATTGAAACCCGTTATTCCAGACTGAACCATTCACAGTTCCGGATTATCAAAAGGTATAATTGTACAGGTACGTTGCCAATGGTAACAGTCCAGAAGATGAGATTCTACGTTAAAACGGGGTCTGGAGCAAGCGGATATCACTGTGTATAAATCTGGAGTGTGAATTGTATTAATTGTGATACATAAGCTCGATATTAGCAAGAAATGACAAAGTTTTCACTTACTTGAAAAAGGCAGCACTCCGAGTAGACAGACGAGCCTGAATATTCCCAAAGCCATGTTCTACTGTTCCACTTAATCACAATAGTTTCCACGCTCGACTCAACAATGGCTTTATACGTATACCCCGGGTTCTCGTCTCGCCTTTTTGGATAGAAAAACGTCAGTAAAAATTAATCCGAAATCAGAATCGAACTTAAAGATAGATCCCAAGAATTATTGCGATGCTTTGTTCGGCTTCGATGCAATACGCAGCTCAAGACTACAGGACTTCTTCACGACCGTCTAGCAAGGTGAAATACGTTACAACAAGGAAGTGATTGGATATGGGATGTCATGCACCAACGAACAGTGTCAGTAGTTGTATTAGTATGCAACGCGAATAAGAGAAAACAACCAACTGATTTAGCGTCGGTCATCAATTGATACAACACATGAATGTTAGCCATCGATTCAAAACTTATACTTTTTCGAAAAACAACAACAAACAATTATGACTTATACTGTTATTTCGACTACAAGGGGTGCATGGTGTATACTTCAATACAAGGTTAATGATGTATGTGACCCAGCTGGGTTTGGTTACGCTGTTTAGGGACAAACTGTTTGAAGCAAGACGAACTCTTTCTGAGACGATATAGACACGCAAAGAGCCCAAGTAAGAGACATGGCTTGTCTGGTTCGATCACTTCGACCAGCACGCAATCACGCAACATGATACCTGTCAGGTGTTCTCTGATTACATAGGTATGTCGTGACGGAGTCAAGCGTGTATTATGTCGGCTGGATAATTTGAGTGAGTGTGGGTTTACGCCGTTTTAAAGAATATTACAGCAAAAGGGGTCACACATTGTACCCATGTGGGGAATCGAAACCGCGACGGCGTGACGATCGAACGCTTACTACCCCTCCTGCCCTACTAGGCATCCCCACCGCCCCTAGATAATTTGACTTGTTTCCTCGTGTGGTTTATTTAATAGTGATTTTAAGACTGTCAGTTCCTGCAGAGTATGCCGGTGTGGAGGAACCCCCCCCCCCCCGCCACACACACACACACACACACCTCCAACGAAAATGTCACATACCGGGTGGCCCAGTCGTCTAAGGCGCCGCGATTCGCTGTGCAGAGTTGCGTCCCTTGGACACGCCAGAAACCTATGATTGTGGGTTCGAATCCCGGTTCTCCCCAATTATGTTTCTAGGTTTGTCAGCACCTTACCCGTGCTCGTGGGTTTCACCGAAGTGGTAAACGTCTGAGACCTGCATCACTTCGGGCTTTCCTCCCACATTAAGCTGACACGCCACGATATAACTGGAATAATGTTAAAAGCGGCGTTAAACCCAACTCACTCACTCACTCAGGCACGGCTTTAACCAGTTGGCTCCTCCACCCCTAGAATACGCTATAGGTCAGTGTGGGACATTTGAGGGTAACGCCGCTTTTGGTGGTATAAGCCGTTGCTGTACACCAGCAAGCTGGTAAAACGTGTCTATCCAGACATCGAGAAAACAAAACCATTCATATTCCAGCGAACATTATCTTTATGAATCGTACGTTTTCTGACAAATCTGTGCTGCTTTTTACACGGTGGACCTGTGATGGACAATCTCACAAGTTTTGAGTGTTGATTTGAAACAAAAGAACATTCAATAATTTTATGCGTCAGATGCGTACAGTACTGATTCTGCTAATTAAAGGGAGGCAACTTTCGAATGAATGGAGTTGTTTCCCTTAGATCACCATGTGCACACAAAGTCACAGAGCCTGCTAAAAGTTAGACGGAGACACTGCCAGGCAAAGGAAACTGTAAACCCATGTTTGAAGGTGGTTAAATATGATACAAACAAGAAATGGTTATTCGAAGGTGGTGTATTTGATACGGGTGTAATAGTTGTGTTTTGGACCTTAAGTTTGCAGTGTTTCGGCCACTTTTCAGCCAAGTAACGTTTTGATAACGTTCGTGATTTTTTATGTCGACTTTCATTTACCCGACAGTTAAGTTAAAGTAAAGTGAAGATTTATTAGTAATAATCTGTTAGTTTGTTTGTTTGTTGTTTAACGCCACACTCAGCAATATTCCAGCTATACGACGGCAGTCTGTAAATAATCGAGTCTAGACCTGACAATCCAGTGATTGACATCATGAGCATCGATCCACGTAATTGGGATACGATGACATGGATCAACCAAGTCAGCGAGCCTGGCCACCCGATCCCGTTAGTCGCTTCTTACGTCAAGCATAGTTGCCTTTTACGGCAAGCATGAGTTGCTGAAGACCTAGGTCACCCCCTCCTCCGAATCCAGAATACCATCAGTTTTTCACTTTGAGTCTCATTCGCTCACCCCTGAATCCCGAATATTTCATGACACCAATCTCAAAAACACAAGTCAGAATTGAATCTAGAAAGGCAGAACGAAAACCTATAGACCACTTTCCTACATGTAGGTCATAACAGGGTGAGATTTGAAGTTACATTACTGACAAAATACCAAAAAATATGAAATGTGTGAAGGAAACCTTTTCTTATTTTAAAATGTTGATCTGTGTACTAAATACGATGTATTTGCCTCCCTAATACCCACACAGTAGACCCCCGGTTCCCATGTACCAGAGGGGGTTGGCACCCTTTTGAATGTTCTGCCAAAGCAAACGTACCTGTGGTCTGTTGTACTCCAAGATCAATAAATGTTGTATATGTCAGACCTGTAAATCAGGGCACGGGTGCCCAATCGTCTTGTGCACTGCAAGTCGCTGTGCAAAATTGCCCCCCTCGTGGGTTTGAATACCGGATCGCCCCGATTATGTTTCTAGGTTTGTCAGCATTATACCCGTGCTCGTGGGTTTCATCAAAGCGGCAAACGTCTGTCTTAGACCTGCATCACTTCGGGCTTTCCTCCCATATCAGGCTGACGCACCGTGATATAACTTGAATACTGTTTAAAGCGGCGTTAAACCCAGCTCGCTCACTCACTCGGTGTTTAGGTGGCGCACCGTTCACAAGTCAGGTTTGGGTTTTATCCCTGCCCCCCACACAAACACATGTACAGATGATAAAACACTAGACCAAAGCATATGTATCTCTTTAAGCGCCTGACAAGCACCTTGGCTTGTATACTCCCGTGTGAGTTGAGAATGCAAATTGAATGCACTGTGATTCGCTGACCGTGTGAATTACTGTATTGTTCCACGAGTTTGCCGGAACGTGGATACGGCGCAAATATGAATAAGCATTTAAAGTAGGATTATCGTCCGGGAATATTTGCAAGTATAAGACTGACTCTCTCTCTCTCTCTCTCTCTCTCTCTCTCTCTCTCTCTCTCTCTCTCTCTCCTATGCTTGTACAGTGCACTTCACAGACAGAAAACACAACATCGTATTCAAGAGCAAGGTTTATCCATAACCTGAAGGAACATGAACAATTGAAGCACCGAAGGGAGGTAACTCTATATACGTTAACTCGCCTGACTACTATTATAAGAATAATTATACAATACATTTTGTAACTATGTATAAACTGACATTCTTAACAATATACTAAGCAATACAAACATATATTCTTTTAAAAAAAAAATACCATGTACGTGTATGTTTTATTTACTGTATTAATCATTTCAATATATCTCACACTGTTGTGATCAGATAAATAACATGACTGAAAGTCAACAAACGAAACCCGCCATAATCACACAGTAATCACATCTGTTTTTGATATAAACATTTGACATGAATCACAAATACATGAAGCACTGTAAAACTTTACAGGAATTCTGTCTTCTGTGCCAGTAAACTGTTCCGGATAAAACATTGTTATATTTACAGAAAAAAAACTGTTGTCTGTGCCGGTACAGCAATTCGCGATGAAACACTGTTCAATTTACTGAAAAAAACCTGTTGTCTGTGCCGGTACAGCAATTCGCGATGAAACACTGTTCAATTTACTGAAAAAAAACTGTTTTCTGTGCCGGTACAGCCATTCGCGATGAAACACTGTTCAATTTACTGAAAAAAACCTGTTTTCTGTGCCGGTACAGCCATTCGCGATGAAACACTGTTCAATTTACTGAAAAAACCCTGTTTTCTGTGCCGGTACAGCAATTCGCGATGAAACACTGTTCAATTTACTGAAAAAACCCTGTTTTCTGTGCCGGTACAGCAATTCGCGATGAAACACTGTTCAATTTACTGAAAAAAACCTGTTGTCTGTGCCGGTACAGCAATTCGCGATGAAACACTGTTCAATTTACTGAAAAAACCCTGTTTTCTGTGCCGGTACAGCAATTCGCGATGAAACACTGTTCAATTTACTGAAAAAAACCTGTTGTCTGTGCCGGTACAGCAATTCGCGATGAAACACTGTTCAATTTACTGAAAAAACCCTGTTTTCTGTGCCGGTACAGCAATTCGCGATGAAACACTGTTCAATTTACTGAAAAAAACCTGTTGTCTGTGCCGGTACAGCAATTCGCGATGAAACACTGTTCAATTTACTAAAAAAAACTGTTGTCTGTGCCGGTGTCAGAGAGGGGAATTTCCCCCGGAAAAAGGGCTATATAGCCAAATTCCCCCGGAAAACTGGCTATATAGCCATACTTCCCACGGAAAGCACACTATATGGCCATATTTCCCACCCGGAAAATACACTATATAGCCAATTTTCGGCTTTGGAGTCAGATTTCCCCCATAATTAAATATATGTCTATTATCAAAAGTACCTACAGTTGGCTGATGGAGTAATTTACAAAAGAAACCATGATTAAAATCTTGTGATTTTTTGCGCCATACATTCTTAATTTTAATAAATAGAGGATAGTTCATTTCGACAGTGAGATATGGCGGATCTGTTTATAGTCTCACCGCTTCTATCATTGGTTCCTCCGAATCACTGAGAACAACCGATGGAAATATGTATTCATATATATTTTAAGTAGAAATGTTTTGAAATGCCTCGGTTTCATGGCATTATTAAAATGCAGTTAAAAATGCGTCGGTTCCATTTCATATTTGTGATGACTAAGGTATTTCTGTCACTATCGGCAATCTGAAATAGCAGGCTATTCCAAACTCCACCACAATAAAACTTGATGTTAAACATCAGCATGAATTTAAGAGAGAGGCTATGCTCAACGACCTCGTGCCCAGAACCAACCGAGATCTAGAGATTGACGGATATGTAATAATAAATTGATAATTATGGTAATGATGATTAACTGCTGGAATGATCTTCATCACAGCAGGAGTTATCATAATCATAGCAGTTGGATTTAGTAGACAAACAAATGGCTTTGAACGACCTGATTCCAACTTGCAAGAACTGTCAGCTTATCCGAGAACTTCAGTTGTTCTTTGGTATGTATGTAAGCCACTTTGGGATACATACATGTGATGTTGTGAAATTGAGATTTGTTTTGGTTTGTCCCGGTTAGTCAAGCCATTTGACATTCTCATCAAGTGAAATGTCCAATCGTCTTACTAAAACGCCTGTAGTGTGCTCTTTAGGACGACGAGACAAATGACAAACAGCGCCATACTAAGGTGTGATCTGTTGGCTCCTGATGGTCCGTTACATAGGTCGACAGAGTCGCAGAGGGTGACACAGGCCTGGAACCCCCGGGTCTCAAACCCACAGGTCGAGGAGTTTGAGGGGCCCAGGCCTTTCAAAGGCGCAAGGTCAAACGAGAAGGTCTTGCCATCTGAACAGCCCCGGATGTAACTGAGGATCTTTCTGGTTTCTGTGGAGATAATGAGCACGTGAGTAATGCTATACTAGCTATACCACGGGCCTGTAAATATTCGAATCTAGACCCGGAAAACAAGTAAATGCCATGAAATAATCCCTTGGTAATGCTATGTAACGACTTTAAACTCTCTGGGCCTTGTGTCTTTTCTTAAATTATTCCAAATTTGAAAAAAATATATTTCAACTAAAAAACACAATAACTACTTTTACCAATTCCATACCAAGTCATCTGTGATATTTCACCAACCTGTGCGTTGTTAAGAAATGATTTTTTGTTTTAAATTACCTTAAAAAAGAAGAAGAAGAAAACGTATTATCCAACTTACTACTCTCTCGAATTTCTTCAATCATGCACATAGGTTTTTTGGGGAAGGTGGCACAGTCCACGTAACCAGGAGAGCGGCTGCCACGGTCGTTGACGTGCTTAGTGTCGTTGTTCTTTATAAGTTTGTAGACATTCAGGAAGGAACTGAACCCAGAAATACACTCCCCGTCTCCTCCAGCCGCGCCGCAGACATAGCATAGGATTCCATCTGAATGAATATAAAACAACAGAAAATCAGTCTCGATTATCCGCCGAAACGGATCATATTGGCCGTAAAATGAAGTAGTTGTGTAAATTATGTGAATGGAACAATGCGAAACGGTTAAGACACCAGGGCCCACTTGCACAAAGCGATCTTAGTGCTAAGACTATCGTAAGCCTATGTTAAAGTATGGGAGTTACGATCATCTTAGCGCTAAGATCGCTTTGTGCAAGTGGGCCCAGGTGTTCACATCACCATGCGGTGAGGGATCAATCATTTGATTTTCAAAGGGATTGAGGATTTACATTTCAAAATACGTTGTTAAATTAAGTTGTCCATTTTGTTATTATTTTCCCGGCCAGATGTGATGCAAAATGTATGGTGCATGAGGTGAGGTGAGGTGAAATGGGGTTTAACGTCGCGTCCAAGATTATTGCACTTTTTAGCGACGTGCATGCACTTGTGTGTGTGTGTGGCTGCTTGTACTAGCCCGGACTGATGCCGATTTATAGTGCTAGCTCTCTGAAATACCATGCTCTACCACTAGACCACGGAGGCGGTGTATGGTGCATGAAGGATATTTCACGTTATTGAGTGAGTTTGTTTTAACGTCGCTCTGAACAATGGACCATAATCAGTGCTTCGACACCAAGATCGTCGGATCCTGCCACACCTACACCACCCTGCTCCTATTTGTCACATCCAACAATGTTGACTCAAGGTTTGGGTGGTCAAGGATTGGTGACCATTGGTCGATGCTCGTGCCCTCCTGTCACTGTTATGTTTCTGGCCAGACTAAATTATTGACAGGCCACCTGCTATGCTGGAGTACAGTTGACAGCGGCGATACATAACATTCAATCTTACCAACCCGTTCTTTCTTATTTGCTTCCAGCAAAGAATAGCTGTGCTTAAGGATTAAATACTTATCCATTTGCCAATACACTTAATGAATAATAATGGATGATAGTGAATGATAAAGGCTTTATTTGTTTATTAGGTTATACAAACAGTATTCCAGCTGCATTACTTCAGTCTGTAAATAATCGAGTCAGGATCGCGAAGCAACTGACTGCCCTATCCGCACCATCACCAGTCTATTATCTGACCCGTGAAGATCCGGGGTAGAGTAGGTCTTCAGTAACCCATGCTTGCCGTAAAAGGCGACTATGCTTGTCGTAGGAGGCGACTAACGGGATCTGGTGGTCAGGCTCGCTGACTTGGTTGATGCATGTCATCGTATCCAAATTGGGTGGACCCGTGAAGATCCGGGGTAGAATAGGTCTTCAGTAACCCATGCTTGCCGTTAAAGGCGACTGACGGGATCGGGTGGTCAGGTTCGCTGACTTGGTTGATGCATGTCATCAATCCCAATTGGTGGATCGAAGTTTATGATATCAATCACTGCATTGTCTGGTCCAGACTGGAATATTTACAGACCGCCGTCATATAGCTGGAATATTGCTGAGTGCGGCGTAAAACAACCAACCAACCAACCACGCTATTATCTGCCATGTCAACATTTACAACATCAGAACCAAATAAGCGGGCTCTTATGACACATCCCAGGCGCTAGTGTTATTAATTATGTGTAAAGGTGACGTGGTGTGCAGTGGGGTTTAACGTCGCGCTCGATATTATTGCACTGTACATCGATGTGCGTGGATCTGTGAGTGTGGCTGCTTGTACTACTCTGAACTGATGCCGGTTTCATAGTCAAAGTCTACTGAGCTACCATGCCACAGTTTAACATGTACACCTCACTCAGATACAGTATACTGACTTCGAGTCCCTGTTTAGCCCCTTAATGCCGAGCACCAGACAGGGTAACAAAGTGTACCATCTTTTAACGTCTTTTGGTATGACGCGGCGGGTTCGAACTACTGTCCTTCCACTTGTAAAGAAACAATAACATTACTTACCCGAGCTGTGAAATACCCCGATAAACAGAGCAAGGCTGAGAAGGGTGGCCATGTCTATATCCTCACTTGATGGAGACAGTTTTCACAGAGGGACTAAACTTATCTCTATCATGTGTACAGGAATCTTCGTTCATCTGAGTTTCCAGGCTGAGTTAGCCGGAGTCAAGGATACGTGTAGACTGTCCTTTCTCCCTTCGGATGCGGGGATCAGTACCCAGGGACGTATACACGGGAAACTTCCTGGTGTCATGCACTGAAAATCATGGTCTTATTTCAATGAGACACGACACAGTGTTTGACGCACACAAAGGGTTTTCAGTGAATGCAACGCGACTGAAACAGGTTCGGGCGCTGTGTGTTAATGTAATGTAATATTTAGCATACAGCTCAACATTTGCTAAGGTCATGTGTGTTTCGCAAGAGCCAACTAGAATGGATCGAATGGGGACGTGGATGATATGTCGTCATGACCCAATGTCGTGGGTCGCTGCTTAACTGTTTTCAGTTACTGGTTTGCCTAGTCAAGACTCGATTGAAACTGTTCGCCGTGATCAAATATTAAATATTAGCCAGGCTTAAATATTGCTGATACATTAAAAACAATTCTTAACCATGGGTGAGAGAGATGGTGGATATTGTTTTACGGCGCTATAAGGAAGACTCCACCATTACCACGGTGCAGGACCCAGAAACAGCCTTGACGCATGTGGGAATCGAACCCGGGTTAGAGGAGCAAGCGCTTTATGAACTGGACTACACCACTACCCATCGTAACCATTGGTAAAATTGTAAACATTTGCCTCATATCTATCTATCTACCTATCTGTCTGTCTGTCTGTCTGCCTGCCTGCCTGCCTGCCTGCCTACCTGCCTGCCTGCCTGCCTGCCTGCCTGTCTGTCTGTCTGTCTGTCTGTCTGTCTATCATAGTACAGTTGCACAGACAAAGACGCTAGGATTTCAAGTTCTTAAACCTACCAATGACGATCATGAAAATCATACACAGGAGATTACAAATTTAGCAAAATATGATTTAATACCATCATCTATTTCAATACTACTGAACCCGAACGAATCGTTTGACTCTTTTTAATAACATCAGTGATATCATTGTATTATACAAAGCCCCCGTCATCAGGATGTACTCTGTCACGGACCATGCAGATCTGTGTCAGGCGGCTTACGAAAACCTTTAACATACGCCGAGCAATGAAATGCAATATGCCTATCACAATAGCAGGCCCACGGAGACACCTTCTAGCACAGTTTCAGGGCCAAATAGATGCGTTCTGTTCTACGTAAATGCATGGCCAAGTAGATGTGTTCTGTCCTTCTCAATAACAGGTACTAATTGATGTGTTCTGTCCAACACAAATGCAGGGACTAATTGATGTGTTCTGTCTACACAAAAGCAGGGACTAATTGATGTGTTCTATCTACACAAAAACAGGGTCCAGTAGATGTGTTCTGTCAACACAATAGCAGGGTCTAGTAGATGTGTTCTGTTCTACACAACAGCAAGGTCTAGTAGATGTGTTCTGTTCAACACAAATGCAGGGTCCAGTAGATGTGTTCTGTCTACACAGTAGCAGGGTCTAGTAGATGTGTTATGTCCTACACAATAGCAGGGTCTAGTAGATGTGTTCTATCTACACAATAGCAGGGTCCAGAAGATGTGTTCTGTCTACACAATAGCAGGGTCTAGCAGATGTGTTATGTCCTACACAATAGCAGGGTCTAGTAGATGTGTTCTGTCAACACAATAACAGGGTCTAGTAGATGTGTTCTATCTACACAATAGCAGGGTCCAGTAGATGTGTTCTGTCTACACAATAGCAGGGTCTAGCAGATGTGTTATGTCCTACACAATAACAGGGTTTAGTAGACGTGTTCTATCTACACAATAGCAGGGTCTAGTAGGTGTGTTCTGTCTACACAATAACAGGGTCTAGTAGATGTGTTCTATCTACACAATAACAGGGTCTAGTAGATGTGTTCTATCTACACAATAGCAGGGTCTAGTAGATGTGTTCTATCTACACAATAGCAGGGTCTAGTAGATGTGTTCTGTCCTACTCAGTAGCAGGGTCTAGTAGATGTGTTCTGTCCAACACAAATGCAGGGACTAATTGATGTGTTCTGTCTACACAATAGTAGGGTCCAGTAGGTGTGTCCTATCTACACAATAGCAGGGTCCAGTAAATGTGTTCTGTCTACACAATAGCCGGGTCTAGCAGATGTGTTATGTCCTACATAATAACAGTGTCTAGTAGATGTGTTCTGTTCTACACAATAACAGGGTCTAGTAGATGTGTTCTATCTACACAATATCAGGGTCTAGTAGATGTGTTCTATCTACACAATAGCAGGGTCTAGAAGATGTGTTCTATCTACACAATAGGAGGGTCTAGTAGATGTGTTCTGTTCTACACACTAGAAGGGTCTTGTAGATGTGTTCTGTTCTACACAATAACAGGGTCTAGTAGATGTGTTCTATCTACACAATAACAGGGTCTAGTAGATGTGTTCTATCTACACACTAACAGGGCCTAGTAGATGTGTTCTGTTCTACACAATAACAGGGTCTAGTAGATGTGTTCTATCTACACAATTACAGGGTCTTGTAGATGTGTTCTGTTCTACACAATAACAGGGTCTAGTAGATGTGTTCTATCTACACACTAACAGAGTCTAGTAGATGTGTTCTATCTACACAATAGAAGGATCTAGTAGATGTGTTCTATCTACTAAATAACAGTGTCTAGTAGATGTGTTCTGTTCTACACAATAGCAGGGTCCAGTAAATGTGTTCTGTCTACACAATAGCCGGGTCTAGCAGATGTGTTATGTCCTACATAATAACAGTGTCTAGTAGATGTGTTCTGTTCTACACAATAACAGGGTCTAGTAGATGTGTTCTATCTACACAATATCAGGGTCTAGTAGATGTGTTCTATCTACACAATAGCAGGGTCTAGAAGATGTGTTCTATCTACACAATAGGAGGGTCTAGTAGATGTGTTCTGTTCTACACACTAGAAGGGTCTTGTAGATGTGTTCTGTTCTACACAATAACAGGGTCTAGTAGATGTGTTCTATCTACACAATAACAGGGTCTAGTAGATGTGTTCTATCTACACAATAGCAGTGTCTAGTAGATGTGTTCAATCTACACAATAGAAGGATCTAGTAGATGTGTTCTATCTACACAATAACAGTGTCTAGTAGATGTGTTCTGTTCTACACAATAACAGGGTCTAGTAGATGTGTTCTAACTACACAATAGCAGTGTCTAGTAGATGTGTTCTATCTACCAAATAGCAGGGTCTAGTAGATCTGTTCTATCTACACAATAGCAGGGTCTAGTAGATGTGTTCTGTTCTACACACTGGAAGGGTCTTGTAGATGTGTTCTGTTCTACACAATAACAGGGTGTAGTAGATTAGTTCTATCTACACAATAACAGGGTCTAGTAGATGTGTTCTATCTACACACTAACAGGGTCTATTAGATGTGTTCTGTCCACACAATAACAGGGTCTAGTAGATGTGTTCTATCTTCACAGTTACAGGGTCTTGTAGATGTGTTCTGTTCTGCACAATAACAGGGTTTAGTAGATGTGTTCTATCTACGAAATAACAGGGTCTAGTAGATGTGTTCCATCTACACAATAACAGTGTCTAGTAGATGTGTTCTATCTCGACAATAACAGGGTCTAGTAGACGTGTTCTATCTACACAATAAGAGGGTCTAGTAGATGTGTTCTATCTACACAATAACAGGGTCTAGTAGACGTGTTCTGTTCTACACAGTAGCAGTGTCTAGTGGATGTGTTTAATTCTACACAAAAGCAGGGTCTAAAAGATGTCTTTAATTCTACACAATAGCAGGGTCTAGTAGATGTGTTCAATTCTAAACAATATGAGGGTCTAGTAGGTGTGTTCCGTTTCTACACAGTAGCAGGGTCTTGTAGAGGTGTTCTGTCCTTCACAATATGAGGGTCTAATAGATGTGTTCCGTTCTACACAAAAGCACAAGTTTGTTTCTGTTATGAGATCTCAGCGTTACTTACAGCCCCTTTAAGGATGTTGATAATATTTACAAGCTTTAGAAATATTTCACCGTATTTAGTACTGACTTACTGAATTCCACCGGATCTCGGCGATGTCGAACAAGTCCGTTTGAATAATAGGTGGGTTACAAACATCAATCACACACACAAAAACATTTAACAGTATAAAAAGAAAACGTGCCTTGCGGATAATTGACGGCCATTATCTGTACCTTCTCTCATTACACACTCCCCGCGTTTGGATGCCATTATGTTTATCTGAGCTGCCCGCATGAATTCAAGGGTAACAACCCACCACCCTCTCAAAAATGGTATCGTCCAATTTACGTCATCAAGTTGCTAGACAGAACAATCAGTTTCGAGTATCCCTCGAAACGAGTCCATTAAGTATTAAAGGCAAGACAGCGATGGAAACTCTTTGAATGAATCCCTGACAACACAGTGATCACACCAGGTGTAAAGGCTAATGCCAGTGTTACCTTCATTCAGATCGATACCCTACCCAAAACATTGGACTCAACCAATGCCACTCAAAATCCGTGAAAATCCGGGTTAGAATTGATCTTCTGAAACCCATGCATGCCATTAAAGGCGGCTATGCTTGCCGTAAGAGGCGACTAACGGGATCGGGTGGTCAGGCTCGCTGAATTGGTTGGTGCATGTCATCGTATCCCAAATGCGTGGATCGATGCTCATGATGTCAATCACTTGATTGTCTGGTTGAGACTCGATTATGTTTTCATATACCTGTAATATTGCTGAGTGCGGCGTTTAAAAACAAACAAACAAACAAACACTTCACTCAATATCTCCCCAACATCAAAGAGTTCGCTATAATTTTGTCAAGGTATTCTCACTCTTATCTTAATCCCGTACCGAGCACTTTATATAGTCAGTCCATTATGAAATAAAGCAGAACAAGATCCCAGTTTTAATCCATGAAAATATGAGTTTTATTGTGGCATTGATGACAATCTTTTAAGGAAACACAATGATGATCTTAGAGTGGAACACATATGAAGCGGCCATACAATTTCCGAATCCCGTTCAGGGATTCGAACCACGAACCAAGCTGATTAGTTAACGATGTCATCTGGACCCACTTGCACAAAGCGATCTTAGCGCTAAGATGATCGCAACTCCCATACTTTAACATAGGCTTACAATAGTCTTAGCGCTAAGATCGCTTTGTGCAAGTGGGCCCTGGAAACTGATGATGTCATCCGTGGTATGACTCCACACCCTGCTGCACATGCACGAAATAACCCTCATGACGATGAAGAACATTTAGAAAACAAATTACCAGATCCTTTGGCCCAGATAAACCCAAAACGCATACATGAATAAATACAGAGATTTCTTGGATATTTAGAATTTGACACAAGCATAAAATACGCCAAAAAGGGCAGTTAACACGATCAGAGAGGGCTTCTCATTCTGTGCTCCTTCATTAGGTCCATTGCAGAAGTTGGTGGAGTTGCACAGAGTGATGCAGACTTGGTAGCCATGGTTGCCGTATCCACACGTTGTAAAGTTGGCAGGTGTGTCTGTGTGTAAGATTGGCATGTTGATGGAGAACGTCACACCATCTGAGCAGTCCCGGTTGAAGGTTTCAACGTTTCCAGTAACTATAGGAAGACACAAAACATTGTAAATAACATACCGGTAAATGTATATTTTAGATATCTTCCACCGCACTCCACGTAAAACATTTAAATAACTTGCAATTATTCTGGTCGACTCTTGATAGACATACTCAGATAAAGTACTCTGTCTTATTGGCATATGTGATTATGTTCACTTTAACTTGAAAATAAGATGGGCAGTCGTCAGTGGCACGGTAAAAGGTGCCTCGAATCACTGCAAGGTGTAAGTGAGATTGATTTAACCTTCTTTGAAAGTATATCAGTTTTGTCAAGGCGCGTCAGCTTGGTATGGAAAGAAAGCTGTCTACATTACAAAACAAACGCGTCATACTATATTTTCAACAACATTCCAGCGAAGCCTCAGACTCTCGTAGCTCTGCGGGGACTAAGCAGAATGTGCGGACACTGCAGAGATACTGCAGACTTTCTGCAGAAAAAGAATCTGCACAAATAATTACCCTATTTACTAGACGTATTGATGGCTCAAAAATCGTCCTTATTTCTCAAGCGTGGCTATGATTAACTGTTGAAATTTTAGTTTGCCCCCTTACAAAAATTTTACCAAAATATAGCTGGTCTGCCTTGATAGTCAAAAAGTTCATGATAATAACACCACTTACATGCATTTCGAACTTCTTCAATGACACACATGGTTCTGTTGACGAATTTGTCGCAATCCTTATAATGAGGAGTCTCAGTGGCTGTGTCGCCGGGCCCAGCAACAAGCGTTGCATTCGGATTGGACAGTGCGTGAAACACCTTTGTGAAAGAACTGTAGCCTGTCATACATTCGCCTTCATCTCCGCTACTGGTACATTGATAACACAGCAGGCCCTCTGTAGCAGAAACATAGTGTACAGTAGGTGAAAGCACATTTGATATTCCGATTTACTACACAGATAGCACAGGTCATCTGCAGCAGAAACATAGTGTACAGTAGGTGAAAGCACAGGTCATCTGTAGCAGAAACATAGTGTACAGTAGGTGAAAGCACATTTGATATTCCGATTTACTACACAGATAGAACAGGTCATCTGCAGCAGAAACAATGCGACATAGGTACAGAAGGTTAAAGCACATTCGATATTCCGATTTACTACAATGTACTTCACCAACTGTACCTATGTCGCATTGTTTCTGCTGCAGATGACCTGTGCTATCACAGGTCATCTGCAGCAGAAACAATGCGACATAGGTACAGTAGGTGAAAGCACATTTGATATTCCGATTTACTTCACTGATATCACAGGTCATTTGCAGCAGAAACAATGCAACAAAAGGACAGGAGGTTAAAGCACATTTGATATTCCGATTTACTACACTGATATCACAGGTCATTTGCAGCAGAAACAATGCAGTTTAGAAGGAATTGTTTGAAAGGTTGTTGAAAGGTCGTTGTTTGGCATGTGTGTGGTGGTGGTTGTAGTGGTGTGTTAGGAGTTTGTGGTTATTGAATAAAAGCGACAGGGAAAGGAGAGCATGTAGGTTGAAAGGGAAAGGAAGGGTGGTTGAGGTAAAGTAGTCTTCATATATTTTATACTGTCAGTTTATTTTTTATATGTCAATGGAGCAGATTCCTGAAATATTTTCTTATGTATTCTAATCATGCTGCATACCAGCAGGCATCCAAATTGATTCTAAAAAGCAAATGTGCAATAAAGAAATTATTCATGTAAGTTGAAGCAGCAGTGTTGCAAGTGGATCAAGACATTGACTTTGCATCAAGACGAAACCCGGCCGTTAATATTTCCTTGCGATGGGCACGAGCCGTCAACGGATTTTTACCGGGGACGTCAGGGTTCTGCCGGATCCCCGAGTGTCACTAACGTTAACGTGCGAACCATGCCCCTGTTGACCAAGCGGTGAATGGGTACCCGGTAGGATGAGAAGACAACGTGACTGTAAACAATCCAGTGCACCATAAGGCCTCAGGGAGATAAGACTGAAATTCGTGTGCCACTGATCCATCGACTGGAAAAATGTATATAGAGCGCCACGACCATGGACTTGTATAAGTGACAGCGGAAGTGTTTCAAGTTTTTACACCAACGCACGTATCAAAGACGTGTACTTACATTATATGGGGCGGTGGGGTTAAGCCTTATGGTTATTCGTTCGCCCGAAACACCGAGAGCCCGGTTCGATCCCCACATTGGTACAATGTGTGAAGTCCATTTCTGGTGTACCCCGCTGTGATATTGATGAAATATTGCATAGGCGGCGTAAAACATTTTCCCTCACTCACTTATATATAATAATTGCGCTGCATACATTTGGCGAACGAGCAGTTATGAAGAATGAATTGATCTTAAACACCGAACAGTATTTCAGTCATATGATGGCGTACACAGACACTCTGCGGCGGGCCAACATAATGTGGGAGGATACTTCACCCCTATCGGACTCCCAACAAAACCCCAGTAAGCTAAACAAAACAGACACTCACCCGACCTGTGTAGAAATCCAACCAGAAGGTAGAAAAGCCATATTTCCATCCTTTAGTGGATGTCACTCCTCACTGATGGCGAGAAGGTTTACAATTCGTTTCAACCTCAAGTCTATACTGGGGTCTACCGTGGCTCGTTCCGCCCCGGTGAATCTTCAGGCAACGTCTCGGATCGCTTGACAGAGTTAACGTGTACTTCGATTCCAAGAAGCAACTACATCTGTAGAAGAATCGATTACCCCAACTTCCTTGTTCGGGGTTGATGCAGTAGTTAAAGTGACAGGTAACGTTGTACAGTTTCATGCACCGACGGTCGTGACGTGTTGCGTACAGCAGCTGCTTTGTTAGACGACATTCCTGTGGACGAACCAGGTAGAGTATTAATGTCGCTCGTTAACTCGTATAGTGTTCAACATTTTCTAGGGGTAGGTTTATCATGCTTACCAGTTGAAAGGTGTGAGGGTGTCAGAGAGGGTGCAGTGTTGTGTCCGTGTGAGCAATGTCACCTCTATATCGCGGTGGTCTGTTATTGAGCCTGGACTAAACCAGAGGTCGATAGCTAGAGCAAAGAACAGCGTCGTAGCGAACGAGAACACATTAGTGTATTCACACACTTAATCACGCAATCCTCATTTTAGTTGACTCTTATGACAAACATAGGGACTTTAGTGACAGACATAGGGACTCGCCCCGAATGCAATCCATGGTCTGTCAACAACACACCCGTGCTTCGGAGAAGAGAATGATCGCTAACGGACTGACGCTGCATGCAGACAACCGAAGTCAGTCCGTTAGCGGTCAACATGTGAAATTGAACACCCTTCCATTACCTGCCCCGATGGCTCCGTGAGTTAAAATGCTAAAATTGGCATGTGAGGTTGCAGGTTCTGTTCACGTCATGTGATTTTCCGTCATTTACCTTGCCCCTTATGATTAACCGGGTACGCAGTGGACATGATGCGGTGTTTGGGGTGTGGGGTGTGGGGTGTGGGGTGTGGGGTGTGGGGTGTCGGGTGCGGTGTTTGGGGTGTGGGGTGCGGTGTTTTGGGTGTGGGCCGCGGTGTTTTGGGTCTGGGCCGCGGTGTTTGGGGTGTGGGCCGCTGTGTTTGGGGTGTGGGGAGCGGTGTTTGGGGTGTGGGGTGCGGTGTTTAGGGTGTGGGGTGCGATGTTTAGGGTGTGGGGTGCGGTGTTTGGGGTGTGGGCCGCGGTATTTAGGGTGCGGGGTGCGGTGTTTAGGGTGTGGGGTGCGATGTTTAGGGTTCGGGGTGCGGTGTTTAGGGTGTGGGGTGCGGTGTTTAGGGTGTGGGGTGCGGTGTTTGGGGTGTGGGATGCGATGTTTGGGGTATGGGGTGCGGTGTTTGGGGTATGGGGTGCGGCTTGTTGGGTGCTTGGTGCGGGGTGTTTGGTGTGTGTGTATTCCTACGCCTGTGTATAGAAATGACGGAACCAGACCGACAGCATCTGATTGAAGCGTCCGATAGTATGTAAACGATCCACGGTTTACACAGTGGGTTCACCCGAATACAGTGCTTCGACTCTCTACGTCAAAACCTTCCACTCGGAGCCCGATGCAGATTTTCACAGGCCTTCAGAAAGCAAATTAAGCAATATGTATACACTGCTTCTCAAACCAGACAGGAAGCAAGGTATCTACAGCAGCTATTAGACACACTGTAAGATCGGCCATATGATTGAAGTCGGGGCCGTGGGGAAGCCTGTTGGTTATTTTGCGTTCAGTCACACGCCGAAGGCCCGTGATCTATTCCCCACATGTGTACACTATTTGAAGCCCATTTCTGGTGTCCCTATCCGTGATACTGCAAAAATATTGCTGAAAACGGCGTAAACGTCAACTCACTCTCTCCCTACCTCACACCCACCCACTCACTCTCTCATTCAACGCAAGTTCAGTCTGTTTTAAGGGAACGCTTCAATCAAAAGGCTTCCCATTTGTCCAAAGGGTAAGGACGAAAGCTAAGCAGATTTAAACTACAACCAAACATATGAACACACAGGATGAAGCTGTGTTTGATTAAAACAAATCATTCGACACTTGGAATTATGTCATTCTCACTCAGGAAATGTGAGACTCATTGTATTCAAATAGTTCTTGTTTTGTTTGTTGCTTAAAGCTGTGCTCCAGTAACATTCCAGGTTAAAAGAGGACGGCCTGTAATTACGCCAGTTAAATACTTAGTCTATCAAAATTAGCAATACTACTCTGCTTGACGCCAAAAGAACATTCTATATAATCAGCCTTAACACAGATCGTCTTGACCCGTGGACCCGTGAAGATCTTGTGATGTTAAAACAATTTTTGAGAAATGAGTAATTTGTAGTTGGAGCGGGCTAGCAGACTAGTGTTTTATCACTGTTATGCATGTCCAAAAGACTCTTTCAAGTCAACATCTGATTTATATATCCATGCAAAGAGCCATATGTAACTAATATACTGTATTCGACGTAATAAGCGCCCAGGGCGCTCTCAAAATTAGAAATAGGGGGCACTTATAAGAATATTATTTTGGCGAAAAAAAAACAGTTGAAAGATAAATTTCGTGGTTTATGCTGACAGCCTGAAATGTTTATATACGACAGATATATATATTTTCCAGAATTTAATTGCCCATAATTGCAAATTACACACAAGTGCGTATTATACACGAATAAGTAGGTCTTGTGTACGTTGATCAATCGGAAGGGGTGCTAATTGGGATTGTTCATTAGGCAATATAGTAGCAAATATCGCCGTGGGCGCTTATTAGAGCGGGACGCTTATTACGTCGAATACGGTAATAATAACAAACTCGCAGACAAGTTGTTTGGCGATTTTGTTAATTATGATGATTAGTTACATGGCACTGTGATACATGTCACACATTTTCGAGCCTGACGTGATCAAGGCAGACACTTCAACGCCCACTGAAGACATCAATGTGTTTGCCACTTGCCGCTGGAGTTATGTTGTGAAATTAAGCTACACAAGGAAAGATATTCAATAGGCAATGAAAACATACCTCACAACTTACTTTTTCACTTATGCACATTTCCATCAAAATTGATCTAATCTCATTAACCACTTTAAAAGGTTCAAGTTGGTGTAATGATAATGACCATTGGTGGAGAACCGTGAAGATCCGGGGTAGAACAGGTCTTCAGCAACCCATACATGCTTGCCGTAAAAGGCGACTATGCTTGTCGTAAGAGGCGACAAAAGGGATCGGGTGGTCAGGCTTGATGACTTTATTAATGCATGTCATCGTATCCCAATTACGTGGATCGATGCTCATGATATTAATCACTGGATTGTCTGGTCCAGACTCGATTGTTTACAGACCGCCGTCATATAGCTGGGATATTGCTGAGTGCGGCGTTCAACAGCAAACCAACCAACCAACCAACTCCTTGACCTGTGAATACTGTACAGACTCCATCGTGACGTGTAGCAACTGCTGCAACCATGGACGGCCAGGTGCACCTTGTGATGTGACTGGACACTGTGTCTGTGTGGTACACTACAACTCATCGTTATCAGTGCGGCGTTAAGAGTAAGTGAGTTGGGTTTAACGCCGCTTTTAACAGTATTCCAGTTATATCGCGGCGTGTCAGCTTAATGTGGGAGGAAAGCCCGAAGTGACGCAGGTCTCACACGTTTACCACTTCGGTGAAACCCACAAGCACGGGTATGGTGCTGACAAACCTAGAAACATAATCCGGGCGAACTGGGATTCTAACCCACAATCCTAGGTTTCTGGCGTGCCTAAGGGACGCAACTCTACACAGCGAATCGCGGCGTCTTAGACGACTGGACCACCCGTGCCCCCGTCAAGCAAAGAAGTTTTTTTAAATGCAATATATTCTGTTTTTACAATGGCTGATGTTGAGTGTACACGATGGTGCATATAAAGAACATAAACTAATGATCATTTGCATGATGTCAATCATAGGATTTTCTGGTCCTGAATCGATGATTTACAGGCCGCTGTCATATATCAGGAATATTCCTGAGTACGACGTTTAACAACAACAAACATTCACGCGAAAAGATGACAATATCATACAAACAATCATTTTTTGACTGAACTTGTTTGATACGCATTACTTAGAGGTTGAGTCGCTATATGGCTGAAATAATGCCGATGCGACGTTAAATTTTAACTCACTCACTCAGAGGTTGACGGGTGACAAGGTCGACACAATTTTATGGATAACAACTACTTTAATACTGTAAAAAGCGACGTTTCGTAATAGATCCTTAGTCAACTCAATATCAATGTTTGTAAAAATATATATATAGTTTCCACAAAGAAAAATAATTATTAAGAAACGATATGTGCAAAGGTAAATATGGTTGCCAACGTTCTCATGTGTTTTGTTTCTTGCACCATTATGTATTCCCGTGTGTATACTGGTACCACAATGGTAGAGAGTATGTCTATTTAGCTTCTGCGTCAAAACAATTTGGGCAGGTGTGTCAGTGTCAGTGACGTGTGGGATTTTCGGTCTTTTAAACTAAAATCCTTCGGTTCGAAGTTGGAACACACACACACACACCACCCCCCCCCCCCCCCCCCCCCCCCATTACGATGAGTACCATATGTTACTCCAGCCAGAGATTGCCAAGAAAAGACCTGAGCGCACAATGTTTATTATTACTAGGATGCTAATTCGGCTTCAAGTGCATTACGACCGGATACAAGCTTAAAGCTATAATGCGACTATAGCTTCAGTTAGACTACTTTTAGGATAAATCTGTATCGGAAAGGTATGAATATCTTGCATTCATAGGTTGGCAGAGGAGAAAGCTTTAAGCGTCGGTTTTGAAAGCACAACCCATTTCCCTAAAACAACACCGGTAATTTGCCTAAACCCACATTGGTCTTACGTGTAGGAAAGAGACGTCTCTGGTCATGGAAGTGTATTCTCATTAAAGTTCCACCAGTAAAATCAAATCTGTTTTCATCTGAAGAATTAACAAAAGTTCAAGGTGGAGTCACCCAGATCGTTCAATTAATGTGACTTTGAGATTTGTATTCGCCTGTTGGTGTATTATTCAAAACGTTAACAAATGGTTTTCAAAAGCGTCTTAGCAAAAAGAATTCACCACTCAACAGCAGCACATAATTGTCAGATGAACTGAACATTCCAAGTGAGTTCTGAGCGTCACTCGGTATTCATGTACATAGATAATTCCACCCAGTGATGGAGTGGTTATTGATGGAGATTGTATAACATTTGGGTGTAAATGGCTGCTCACAACAGGACAAGACACGCTGGTGAATCCAGAGGGGCTTTGTGTGTGCGTGTGTGTGCTTGCGTGTGTGTGTGTATGTATGTGTGTGCGTGCGTATGTGTGTGTGTGTATGTGCGTGCGTGTGTGTGTGTGTGTGTATGTGCGTGCGTGCGTATGTATGTGTGTGTGTGTGCGTGCGTGCGTGCGTGCGTGCGTGCGTGCGTGTGTATGTGTGTGTTTGGGTATATGTGTGTGGTATGTATGTGGTTGTTTACTACAAAGGGGCTTAGACGGCTGAGGATGCAATTAGATTGCACACTGTTTTGTATTTTGTATGATTTGACGCCAGAGTTTGACAATATCACAACTGCTTGTAAATACTGGAGTGAAAAACCAACCAGTCGACTATCATCGCCTACAGGTTACTGTGACCTGGCTTGTGTAGCGTGACATTGCACCTCACGTTTGAGTATGTTCATTGAAGAATTGACTTGTGTGAGGTCACTGGAGCATCAATAATTTGTCAAATATATAGGTGCTGAAGGAAATGTATAGATAGCTGCAGAATGCTGTTGACTGTCCCTTTTTTACCAAGGTATTATAATCATACGCGCATTGAATGATAAGGGAACGAGTCGTTTTGCAGGCTACGGAAAGACGGAAAGAGGCGAAAGGTGACGAATGCGCAAACATTATCTTGAAAATAAGTGGAGCCGACATGTACAGATCACATCGGGGGTGAGATAGAATGGGATATAACGTCACGTTCAAGATGTTTTTATGTGTGCGTGCGTGCGTGCGTGTGTGTGTGTGTGTGTGTCTGCTTGTACTAGTCCTGACTGATGCCGATTTATAGTGCTAGCGTACTGAGATACCATGCCGCAGTTTAACATGAATGCTCCACTCAGACAACCGAGCCGAGCAACCCGCAATGCCTTAAACAAGGGTAACAACACAGGTATGTCGTGACGGAGTCAAGCGTGTATTATGTCGGCTGGATAATTTGAGTGAGTATGGGTTTACGCCGCTTTAAAGAAAATTCCAGCAAAAGGGGTCACACATTGTACCCATGTGGGGAATCGAAACCGCGACGGCGTGACGATCGACCGCTTACTACCCCTATTGCCCTACCAGGCAACCCCACCGCCCCTAGATAATTTGACTTGTTTCCTCGTGTGGTTTATTTAAAAGTGATTTTAAGACTGTCAGTTCCTGCAGAGTAGGGGCGGTCGGGTAGCCTAGTGGTTAAAGCGTCCCAGGCACGGCTTTAACCAGTTGGCCCCTCCACCCCCAGAACGCTGTAGGTCAGTGTGGGACATTTGAGGGTAACGCCACTTCGGTGGTATAAGCCATTGGCTGTACACCAGCAAGCTGGTAAAACGGTCTATCCAGACGTCGAGAAAACAAAACCATTCATATTCCAGCGAACATTATCTTTATGAATCGTACGTTTTCTGACAAATCTATGCTGCTTTTTACACAGTGGACCAGTGACTGACAATCTCACAATTGTTGAGTGTTGATTTGAAACAAAAGAACATTCAATAATTTTATGCGTCAGATGCGTACAGTACTGATTCTGCTAATTAAAGGGAGGCAATTTTCGAATGAATGGAGTTGTTTCCCTTAGATCATAATGCGCATACAAAGTCACAGAGCCTGCTAAAAGTTAGTCGGAGAAATTGCCAGGCAAAAGAAACTGTAAACCCATGTTTGAAGGTGGTTAAATATGATACAAACAAGAAATGGTTATTCGAAGGTGGTGTATTTGATACGGGTGTAATAGTTGTGTTTTGGACCTTAAGTTTGCAGTGTTTCGGCCCCTTTTCAGCCAAGTAACGTTTTGATAACGTTGGCGATTTTTTCAGTTGACTTTTTTTACCCGACAGTTTAGTTAAAGTAAAGTGAAGATTTATTAGTAATAATCTGTTAGTTTGTTTGTTTGTTGTTTAACGCCACACTCAGCAATATTCCAGCTATATGAGAGCAGTCTGTAAATAATCGAGTCTAGACCTGACAATCCAGTGATTGACATCATGAGCATCGATCCACGTAATTGGGATACGATGACATGGATCAACCAAGTCAGCGAGCCTGGCCACCCGATCCCGTTAGTCGCTTCTTACGTCAAGCATAGTTGCCTTTTACGGCAAGCATGAGTTGCTGAAGACCTAGGTCACCCCCTCCTCCGAATCCAGAATACCATCAGTTTTTCACTTTGAGTCTCATTCGCTCACCCCTGAATCCCGAATATTTCATGACACCAATCTCAAAAACACAAGTCAGAATTGAATCTAGAAAGGCAGAACGAAAACCTATAGACCACTTTCCTACATGTAGGTCATAACAGGGTGAGATTTGAAGTTACATTACTGACAAAATACCAAAAAATATGAAATGTGTGAAGGAAACCTTTTCTTATTTTAAAATGTTGATCTGTGTACTAAATACGATGTATTTGCCTCCCTAATACCCACACAGTAGACCCCCGGTTCCCATGTACCAGAGGGGGTTGGCACCCTTTTGAATGTTCTGCCAAAGCAAACGTACCTGTGGTCTGTTGTACTCCAAGATCAATAAATGTTGTATATGTCAGACCTGTAAATCAGGGCACGGGTGCCCAATCGTCTTGTGCACTGCAAGTCGCTGTGCAAAATTGCCCCCCTCGTGGGTTTGAATACCGGATCGCCCCGATTATGTTTCTAGGTTTGTCAGCATTATACCCGTGCTCGTGGGTTTCATCAAAGCGGCAAACGTCTGTCTTAGACCTGCATCACTTCGGGCTTTCCTCCCATATCAGGCTGACGCACCGTGATATAACTTGAATACTGTTTAAAGCGGCGTTAAACCCAGCTCGCTCACTCACTCGGTGTTTAGGTGGCGCACCGTTCACAAGTCAGGTTTGGGTTTTATCCCTGCCCCCCACACAAACACATGTACAGATGATAAAACACTAGACCAAAGCATATGTATCTCTTTAAGCGCCTGACAAGCACCTTGGCTTGTATACTCCCCAGTGAGTTGAGAATGCAAATTGAATGCACTGTGATTCGCTGACCGTGTGAATTACTGTATTGTTCCACGAGTTTGCCGGAACGTGGATACGGCGCAAATATGAATAAGCATTTAAAGTAGGATTATCGTCCGGGAATATTTGCAAGTATAAGACTGACTCTCTCTCTCTCTCTCTCTCTCTCTCTCTCTCTCTCTCTCTCTCTCTCTCTCTCTCTCTCTCTCTCTCTCTCTCTCCTATGCTTGTACAGTGCACTTCACAGACAGAAAACACAACATCGTATTCAAGAGCAAGGTTTATCCATAACCTGAAGGAACATGAACAATTGAAGCACCGAAGGGAGGTAACTCTATATACGTTAACTCGCCTGACTACTATTATAAGAATAATTATACAATACATTTTGTAACTATGTATAAACTGACATTCTTAACAATATACTAAGCAATACAAACATATATTCTTTTAAAAAAAAAATACCATGTACGTGTATGTTTTATTTACTGTATTAATCATTTCAATATATCTCACACTGTTGTGATCAGATAAATAACATGACTGAAAGTCAACAAACGAAACCCGCCAAATCACACAGTAATCACATCTGTTTTTGATATAAACATTTGACATGAATCACAAATACATGAAGCACTGTAAAACTTTACAGGAATTCTGTCCTCTGTGCCAATAAACTGTTCCGGATAAAACATTGTTATATTTACAAAAAAAAACTGTTGTCTGTGCCGGTACAGCAATTCGCGATGAAACACTGTTCAATTTACTGAAAAAACCCTGTTTTCTGTGCCGGTACAGCAATTCGCGATGAAACACTGTTCAATTTACTGAAAAAACCCTGTTGTCTGTGCCGGTACAGCAATTCGCGATGAAACACTGTTCAATTTACTGAAAAAACCCTGTTTTCTGTGCCGGTACAGCAATTCGCGATGAAACACTGTTCAATTTACTGAAAAAAACCTGTTGTCTGTGCCGGTACAGCAATTCGCGATGAAACACTGTTCAATTTACTGAAAAAAACTGTTGTCTGTGCCGGTGTCAGAGAGGGGAATTTCCCCCGGAAAAAGGGCTATATAGCCAAATTCCCCCGGAAAACTGGCTATATAGCCATACTTCCCACGGAAAGCACACTATATGGCCATATTTCCCACCCGGAAAATACACTATATAGCCAATTTTCCGCTTTGGAGTCAGATTTCCCCCATAATTAAATATATGTCTATTATTAAAAGTACCTACAGTTGGCTGATGGAGTAATTTACAAAAGAAACCATGATTAAAATCTTGTGATTTTTTGCGCCATACATTCTTAATTTTAACAAATAGAGGATAGTTCATTTCGACAGTGAGATATGGCGGATCTGTTTATAGTCTCACCGCTTCTATCACTGGTTCCTCCGAATCACTGAGAACAACCGATGGAAATATGTATTCATATATATTTTAAGTAGAAATGTTTTGAAATGCCTCGGTTTCATGGCATTATTAAAATGCAGTTAAAAATGCGTCGGTTCCATTTCATATTTGTGATGACTAAGGTATTTCTGTCACGATCGGCAATCTGAAATAGCAGGCTATTCCAAACTCCACTACAATAAAACTGATGTTAAACATCAGCATGAATTTAAGAGAGAGGCTATGCTCAACGACCTCGTGCCCAGAACCAACCGAGATCTAGAGATTGACGGATATGTAATAATAAATTGATAATTATGGTAATGATGATTAACTGCTGGAATGATCTTCATCACAGCAGGAGTTATCATAATCATAGCAGTTGGATTTAGTAGACAAACAAATGGCTTTGAGCGACCTGATTCCAACTTGCAAGGGCTGTCAACTGATCCGAGGACTTCAGTTGTTCTTTGGTATGTATGTAAGCCACTTTGGGATACATACATGTGAGGTTGTGAAATTGAGATTTTTTTTGGTTTGTCCCGGTTAGTCAAGCCATTTGACATTCTCATCAAGTGAAATGTCCAATCGTCTTACTAAAACGCCTGAAGTGTGCTCTTTAGGACGACGAGACAAATGACAAACAGCGCCATACTAAGGTGTGATCTGTTGGCTCCTGATGGTCCGTTACATAGGTCGACAGAGTCGCAGAGGGTGACACAGGCCTGGAACCCCCGGGTCTCAAACCCACAGGTCGAGGAGTTTGAGGGGCCCAGGCCTTTCAAAGGCGCAAGGTCAAACGAGAAGGTCTTGCCATCTGAACAGCCCCGGATGTAACTGAGGATCTTTCTGGTTTCTGTGGAGATAATGAGCACGTGAGTAATGCTATACTAGCTATACCACGGGCCTGTAAATATTCGAATCTAGACCCGGAAAACAAGTAAATGCCATGAAATAATCCCTTGGTAATGCTATGTAACGACTTTAAACTCTCTGGGCCTTGTGTCTTTTCTTAAATTATTCCAAATTTGAAAAAAATATATTTCAACTAAAAAACACAATAACTACTTTTACCAATTCCATACCAAGTCATCTGTGATATTTCACCAACCTGTGCGTTGTTAAGAAATGATTTTTTGTTTTAAATTACCTTAAAAAAGAAGAAGAAGAAAACGTATTATCCAACTTACTACTCTCTCGAATTTCTTCAATCATGCACATAGGTTTTTTGGGGAAGGTGGCACAGTCCACGTAACCAGGAGAGCGGCTGCCACGGTCGTTGACGTGCTTAGTGTTGTTGTTCTTTATAAGTTTGTAGACATTCACGAAGGAACTGAACCCAGAAATACACTCCCCCTCTCCTCCAGCCGCGCCGCAGACATAGCATAGGATTCCATCTGAATGAATATAAAACAACAGAAAATCAGTCTCGATTATCCGCCGAAACGGATCATATTGGCCGTAAAATGAAGTAGTGGTGTAAATTATGTGAATGGAACACTGCAAAACGGTTAAGACACCAGGGCCCACTTGCACAAAGCGATCTTAGTGCTAAGACTATCGTAAGCCTATGTTAAAGTATGGGAGTTACGATCATCTTAGCTCTAAGATCGCTTTGTTCAAGTGGGCCCAGGTGTTCACATCACCATGCGGTGAGGGATCAATCATTTGATTTTCAAAGGGATTGAGGATTTACATTTCAAAATACGTTGTTAAATAAAGTTGTCCATTTTGTTATTATTTTCCCGGCCAGATGTGATGCAAAATGTATGGTGCATGAGGTGAGGTGAGGTGAGGTGAGGTGAGGTGAAATGGGGTTTAACGTCGCGTCCAAGATTATTGCACTTTTTAGCGACGTGCATGCACTTGTGTGTGTGGGTGTGGCTGCTTGTACTAGACCGGACTGATGCCGATTTATAGTGCTAGCTCTCTGAAATACCATGCTCTACCACTAGACCACGGAGGCGGTGTATGGTGCATGAAGGATATTTCACGTTATTGAGTGAGTTTGTTTTAACGTCGCTCTGAACAATGGACCATAATCAGTGCTTCGACACCAAGATCGTCGGATCCTGCCACACCTACACCACCCTGCTCCTATTTGTCACATCCAACAATGTTGACTCCAGGTTTGGGTAGTCAAGGCTTGGTGACCATTGATCGATGCTCGTGCCCTCCTGTCACTGTTATGTTTCTGGCCAGACTAGATTATTGACAGGCCACCTGTTATGCTGGAGTACTGTTGACAGCGGCGATACATAACATTCAATCTTACCAACCCGTTCTTTCTTATTTGCTTCCAGCAAAGAATAGCTGTGCTTAAGGATTAAATACTTACCCATTTGCCAATACACTTAATGAATAATAATGGATGATAGTGAATGATAAAGGCTTTATTTGTTTATTAGGTTAAACAAACAGTATTCCAGCTACATTACTTCAGTCTGTAAATAATCGAGTCAGGATCGCGAAGCAACTGACTGCCCTATCCGAACCATCACCAGTCTATTATCTGACCCGTGAAGATCCGGGGTAGAGTAGGTCTTCAGCAACCCATGCTTGCCGTAAAAGGCGACTATGCTTGTCGTAGGAGGCGACTAACGGGATCTGGTGGTCAGGCTCGCTGACTTGGTTGATGCATGTCATCGTATCCAAATTGGGTGGACCCGTGAAGATCCGGGGTAGAATAGGTCTTCAGTAACCCATGCTTGCCGTAAAAGGCGACTGACGGGATCGGGTGGTCAGGTTCGCTGACTTGGTTGATGCATGTCATCAATCCCAATTGGTGGATCGATGTTCATGATATCAATCACTGCATTGCCTGGTCCAGACTGGAAAATTTACAGACCGCCGTCATTTAGCTGGAATATTGCTGAGTGCGGCGTAAAACAACCAACCAACCAACAACGCTATTACCTGCCATGTCAACATTTACAACATCAGAACCAAATAAGCCGGCTCTTGTGACACATCCCAGGCGCTAGTGTTATTAATTATGTGTAAAGGTGACGTGGTGTGCAGTGGGGTTTAACGTCGCGCTCGATATTATTGCACTGTACATCGATGTGCGTGGATCTGTGAGTGTGGCTGCTTGTACTACTCTGAACTGATGCCGGTTTCATAGTCAAAGTCTACTGAGCTACCATGCCACAGTTTAACATGTACACCTCACTCAGATACAGTATACTGACTTCGAGTCCCTGTTTAGCCCCTTTATGCCGAGCACCAGACAGGGTAACAAAGTGTACCATCTTTTAACGTCTTTTGGTATGACGCGGCGGGTTCGAACTACTGTCCTTCCACTTGTAAAGAAACAATAACATTACTTACCCGAGCTGTGAAATACCCCGATAAACAGAGCAAGGCTGAGAAGGGTGGCCATGTCTATATCCTCACTTGATGGAGACAGTTTTCACAGAGGGACTAAACTTATCTCTATCATGTGTACAGGAATCTTCGTTCATCTGAGTTTCCAGGCTGAGTTAGCCGGAGTCAAGGATACGTGTAGACTGTCCTTTCTCCCTTCGGATGCGGGGATCAGTACCCAGGGACGTATACACGGGAAACTTCCTGGTGTCATGCACTGAAAATCATGGTCTTATTTCAATGAGACACGACACAGTGTTTGACGCACACAAAGGGTTTTCAGTGAATGCAACGCGACTGAAACAGGTTCGGGCGCTGTGTGTTAATGTAATGTAATATTTAGCATACAGCTCAACATTTGCTAAGGTCATGTGTGTTTCGCAAGAGCCAACTAGAATGGATCGAATTGGGACGTGGATGATATGTCGTCATGACCCAATGTCGTGGGTCGCTGCTTAACTGTTTTCAGTTACTGGTTTGCCTAGTCAAGACTCGATTGAAACTGTTCGCCGTGATCAAATATTAAATATTAGCCAGGCTTAAATATTGCTGATACGTTAAAAACAATTCTTAACCATGGGTGAGAGAGATGGTGGATATTGTTTTACGGCGCTATAAGGAAGACTCCACCATTACCACGGTGCAGGACCCAGAAACAGCCTTGACGCATGTGGGAATCGAACCCGGGTTAGAGGAGCAAGCGCTTTATGAACTGGACTACACCACTACCCATCGTAACCATTGGTAAAATTGTAAACATTTGCCTCATATCTATCTATCTACCTATCTGTCTGTCTGTCTGTCTGCCTGCCTGCCTGCCTGCCTGCCTACCTGCCTGCCTGCCTGCCTGTCTGTCTGTCTGTCTGTCTGTCTGTCTATCATAGTACAGTTGCACAGACAAAGACGCTAGGATTTCAAGTTCTTAAACCTACCAATGGCGATCATGAAAATCATACACAGGAGATTACAAATTTAGCAAAATATGATTTAATACCATCATCTATTTCAATACTACTGAACCCGAACGAATCGTTTGACTCTTTTTAATAACATCAGTGATATCATTGTATTATACAAAGCCCCCGTCATCAGGATGTACTCTGTCACGGACCATGCAGATCTGTGTCAGGCGGCTTACGAAAACCTTTAACATACGCCGAGCAATGAAATGCAATATGCCTATCACAATAGCAGGCCCACGGAGACACCTTCTAGCACAGTTTCAGGGCCAAATAGATGCGTTCTGTTCTACGTAAATGCATGGCCAAGTAGATGTGTTCTGTCCTTCTCAATAACAGGTACTAATTGATGTGTTCTGTCCAACACAAATGCAGGGACTAATTGATGTGTTCTGTCTACACAAAAACAGGGTCCAGTAGATGTGTTCTGTCTACACAAAAGCAGGGTCCAGTAGATGTGTTCTGTCAACACAATAGCAGGGTCTAGTAGATGTGTTCTGTTCTACACAACAGCAAGGTCTAGTAGATGTGTTCTGTTCAACACAAATGCAGGGTCCAGTAGATGTGTTCTGTCTACACAGTAGCAGGGTCTAGTAGATGTGTTATGTCCTACACAATAGCAGGGTCTAGTAGATGTGTTCTATCTACACAATAGCAGGGTCCAGTAGATGTGTTCTGTCTACACAATAGCAGGGTCTAGCAGATGTGTTATGTCCTTCACAATAGCAGGGTCTAGTAGATGTGTTCTGTCAACACAATAACAGGGTCTAGTAGATGTGTTCTATCTACACAATAGCAGGGTCCAGTAGATGTGTTCTGTCTACACAATAGCAGGGTCTAGCAGATGTGTTATGTCCTACACAATAACAGGGTTTAGTAGACGTGTTCTATCTACACAATAGCAGGGTCTAGTAGGTGTGTTCTGTCTACACAATAACAGGGTCTAGTAGATGTGTTCTATCTACACAATAACAGGGTCTAGTAGATGTGTTCTATCTACACAATAGCAGGGTCTAGTAGATGTGTTCTATCTACACAATAGCAGGGTCTAGTAGATGTGTTCTGTCCTACTCAGTAGCAGGGTCTAGTAGATGTGTTCTGTCCAACACAAATGCAGGGACTAATTGATGTGTTCTGTCTACACAATAGTAGGGTCCAGTAGGTGTGTCCTATCTACACAATAGCAGGGTCCAGTAAATGTGTTCTGTCTACACAATAGCCGGGTCTAGCAGATGTGTTATGTCCTACATAATAACAGTGTCTAGTAGATGTGTTCTGTTCTACACAATAACAGGGTCTAGTAGATGTGTTCTATCTACACAATATCAGGGTCTAGTAGATGTGTTCTATCTACACAATAGCAGGGTCTAGTAGATGTGTTCTATCTACACAATAGGAGGGTCTAGTAGATGTGTTCTGTTCTACACACTAGAAGGGTCTTGTAGATGTGTTCTGTTCTACACAATAACAGGGTGTAGTAGATGTGTTCTATCTACACAATAACAGGGTCTAGTAGATGTGTTCTATCTACACACTAACAGGGCCTAGTAGATGTGTTCTGTTCTACACAATAACAGGGTCTAGTAGATGTGTTCTATCTACACAATTACAGGGCCTTGTAGATGTGTTCTGTTCTACACAATAACAGGGTCTAGTAGATGTGTTCTATCTACACAATTACACGGTCTTGTAGATGTGTTCTATCTACACAATAGCAGTGTCTAGTAGATGTGTTCTATCTACACAATAGGAGGGTCTAGTAGATGTGTTCTGTTCTACACACTAGAAGGGTCTTGTAGATGTGTTCTGTTCTACATAATAATAGGGTTTAGTAGATGTGTTCTATCTACACAATAACAGGGTCTAGTAGATGTGTTCTATCTACACAATAGCAGTGTCTAGTAGATGTGTTCTATCTACACAATAACAGTGTCTAGTAGATGTGTTCTGTTCTACACAATAACAGGGTCTAGTAGATGTGTTCTAACTACACAATAGCAGTGTCTAGTAGATGTGTTCTATCTACCAAATAGCAGGGTCTAGTAGATCTGTTCTATCTACACAATAGCAGGGTCTAGTAGATGTGTTCTGTTCTACACACTGGAAGGGTCTTGTAGATGTGTTCTGTTCTACACAATAACAGGATGTAGTAGATTAGTTCTATCTACACAATAACAGGGTCTAGTAGATGTGTTCTATCTACACACTAACAGGGTCTATTAGATGTGTTCTGTCCACACAATAACAGGGTCTAGTAGATGTGTTCTATCTTCACAGTTACAGGGTCTTGTAGATGTGTTCTGTTCTACACAATAACAGGGTTCAGTAGATGTGTTCTATCTACGAAATAACAGTGTCTAGTAGATGTGTTCTATCTCGACAATAACAGGGTCTAGTAGACGTGTTCTATCTACACAATAAGAGGGTCTAGTAGATGTGTTCTATCTACACAATAACAGGGTCTAGTAGACGTGTTCTGTTCTACACAGTAGCAGTGTCTAGTGGATGTGTTTAATTCTACACAAAAGCAGGGTCTAAAAGATGTCTTTAATTCTACACAATAGCAGGGTCTAGTAGATGTGTTCAATTCTAAACAATATGAGGGTCTAGTAGGTGTGTTCTGTTCTACACAAAAGCACAAGTTTGTTTCTTTTATGAGATCTCAGCTTTACTTACAGCCCCTTTAAGGATGTTGATAATATTTACAAGCTTTAGAAATATTTCACCGTATTTAGTACTGACTTACTAATTTCCACCGGATCTCGGCGATGTCGAACAAGTCCGTTTGAATAATAGGTGGGTTACAAACATCAATCACACACTCAAAAACATTTAACAGTATAAAAAGAAAACGTGCCTTGCGGATAATTGACGGTCATTATCTGTACCTTTTCTGCCCGCGTTTGGATGCCATTATGTTTATCTGAGCTGCCCGCATGAATTCAAGGGTAACAACCCACCACCCTCTCAAAAATGGTATCGTCCAATTTACGTCATCAAGTTGCTAGACAGAACAATCAGTTTCGAGTATCCCTCGAAACGAGTCCATTAAGTATTAAAGGCAAGACAGCGATGGAAACTCTTTGAATGAATCCCTGACAACACAGTGATCACACCAGGTATAAAGGCTAATGCCAGTGTTACCTTCATTCAGATCGATACCCTACCCAAAACATTGGACTCAACCAATGCCACTCAAAATCCGTGAAAATCCGGGTTAGAATTGATCTTCTGAAACCCATGCATGCCATTAAAGGCGGCTATGCTTGCCGTAAGAGGCGACTAACGGGATCGGGTGGTCAGGCTCGCTGAATTGGTTGGTGCATGTCATCGTATCCCAAATGCGTGGATCGATGCTCATGATGTCAATCACTTGATTGTCTGGTTGAGACTCGATTATGTTTTCATATACCTGTAATATTGCTGAGTGCGGCGTTTAAAAACAAACAAACAAACAAACACTTCACTCAATATCTCCCCAACATCAAAGAGTTCGCTATAATTTTGTCAAGGTATTCTCACTCTTATCTTAATCCCGTACCGAGCACTTTATATAGTCAGTCCATTATGAAATAAAGCAGAACAAGATCCCAGTTTTAATCCATGAAAATATGAGTTTTATTGTGGCATTGATGACAATCTTTTAAGGAAACACAATGATGATCTTAGAGTGGAACACATATGAAGCGGCCATACAATTTCCGAATCCCGTTCAGGGATTCGAACCACGAACCAAGCTGATTAGTTAACGATGTCATCTGGACCCACTTGCACAAAGCGATCTTAGCGCTAAGATGATCGCAACTCCCATACTTTAACATAGGCTTACAATAGTCTTAGCGCTAAGATCGCTTTGTGCAAGTGGGCCCTGGAAACTGATGATGTCATCCGTGGTATGACTCCACACCCTGCTGCACATGCACGAAATAACCCTCATGACGATGAAGAACATTTAGAAAACAAATTACCAGATCCTTTGGCCCAGATAAACCCAAAACGCATACATGAATAAATACAGAGATTTCTTGGATATTTAGAATTTGACACAAGCATAAAATACGCCAAAAAGGGCAGTTAACACGATCAGAGAGGGCTTCTCATTCTGTGCTCCTTCATTAGGTCCATTGCAGAAGTTGGTGGAGTTGCACAGAGTGATGCAGACTTGGTAGCCATGGTTGCCGTATCCACACGTTGTAAAGTTGGCAGGTGTGTCTGTGTGTAAGATTGGCATGTTGATGGAGAACGTCACACCATCTGAGCAGTCCCGGTTGAAGGTTTCAACGTTTCCAGTAACTATAGGAAGACACAAAACATTGTAAATAACAT